AGTCCCCGTCGGTAGTTTTAGAATTGATCGAAAGGTACATCGCGCCCACGAAAGCCATGCAAATAAAATGTGTGCCGTAGGCACCAGAAATTTTTTAGTTTCCATTTTCTACAACAGCGTTTTTAATCTGTCGCGAGCCTTCTGAATCATAACTTGTTTCTGTTCAGTTTTTAGTATTTTATATTGCCGCTCTAAAATCTAGAATTAGGTTGCTTGCAGATTCACTCTTTCATTTACGAGTATCTTTAGCCTCTCGTCGCCGATGATTATATAATACCTGGTTTTTGGACACGTCAGTGGACCTATGGATCGTTTCAATATTATGTTGTTGTTGTTGTTGTTCTTTGACACGTTATAAAAAAGTCGCCTTTCTCTTTGATTACTGGACCAATTGCTTTGAAATTTTCAGTTGTTAAAGATTGATATTTTTGCCAGAAGGCTATTACTTTTATTTTTTAATATTGGACACGGAGTGGACCTATGGATCGTTTTACTTTTTTTTGAACACCTAGTGGAAAACCTAAAAAGTCGCTTTTATGCTGGCACTTTTATTATTGTTCTTTTGACCAGGTGCTCATCGAACGCCGGTGGTGTGTAACGACGTTCTTGTTTTCTTAACGAATAATGTCGTACAGCGCCGTAGGTACCGGTAGCTTTAAATGTAATGACTGCTTCTCTCTGATTAACGTGTCTATATATTTGAGCGTTGCTCTCTTGTTTTCAATGGTTTCACAGTTCCGTATACAAGACCTATATATGTTGAGGAAAATTTGTGATTTAAAGAGACTAATCACCGAATGTGTTTACATTCTAAATAACACCTCGACGAAAACAATCGGCGACCTCAAAAAAAATTAGTCGAGCGTTATTACCGACTTTTTCATTATTCTAAAAATTTCTATTTTTCACAGTTACAGTATATTTTATATGTAAATAAAAGAGAAAATGTCTAAATTTAAAAACCTTTTCGCGGGCCGGATGAAACGTTGTCGCGGGCCGGATGTGGCCCTCGGGCCGCAACTTGCCCAGGCCTGGCCTAGATCTATTAAATTTGCTATAAATATCCAAAATTAGAAAAAAATTTCTCAACTCATTTGGGTTTTTGTTAGTTTGTATGGTTCAACACCCAAACGTCGAACGTTTTCAATAGGATCGGATTTACATATTTATCGCGGGGGAGAGGAAAGGCGATAACACAACTTAATCATAAGGACAACAACGGCCTCTCGTACGATTACCAGTCTATGTCGGGTATGGGATTAGTTAGCCAGTTATTTGTTTTCGGAAGCATGGACTTGATGACGGAGGAAGCCATGACCGACCAACGGTTACGTGGAACACCCTATGGCGTTGAGGAGTCCAGCAATCCTCTCGCACATAACTATCCCCGCATATGATTCAAACCTGCGAACCCTCGTAGGGTAATCAGAGGTGCGGTGGCGAGCGTATTCCTAACGCTTAGCACGATGCACCACACCGACCAGCCAACCAGTACCCAAACTGAAACAGTGGGATTCGTCAGATGCATCGCGATCACTAAGCAACTTCAGCAGTAGGTATCAATCAGGTCCTCCTGGCGTTCTTTTTCCAAAAGAATGAACTTTGCTTCTGTCACAATATAAATGTCCTTTTTGAATATTGTCTGGGGTCATATGTATCCTGAATGACTGAGGCCTTTTTACTGTCAGGGTCTAAAAGCTATAATAAAAAAAGATTTTCCATTCCGGAAGCTCAGTACAGTATATCTATAAGTTGATGCTATTTCATATTACATCTTCCTATAAAAAACGATATTGGAAAATCCGCACTTTTAGAGAAAACAAAATTAAATAGCAAGCACGTCATTTTTGTTAGTTTTTAACATGTTGTTTTGTTACCATGAGGTGAATAGTGACATTGACCATCCAAATGCAATAAGTAATCTAAAAACATTCGAATATTTAACCAACAGTCATCCTTATTAGCCATAGGCGGTATTTTAGAGGTCCAGTGTGTACTCGCACGGCGCAATAGCATCCGTGAATACCAACAACTACAAATATTTCTGATCTCACCGTCAGTAGTCTTATCCAAACTATTTCATTTCTCGTCGTTATCAATTCAATATAACACACGCATTCCATGCTAATAATTGAAAGTATTTGAAATCACAGAGGAAAATGAAAATCCTTATAAAATATTTCCACTGTATAGCTTATTTTCTATTTCGCACATTTATTACGAAAAATTCTATATAAGGGCAACAATTCACGTAAACAACCGAGTTTTTCTCCAAGGTGACGTAAACTGTTAGATTGCTTAGAATGACAGCAATTCCGAACAAAAATATTTCTAATTTTACGAAACAAATTCTTCTTTCTTGATTCTCTTTCCTTAATTTTTTCCAATAATTTTTCTTCCTCTTGTTCCTTTTCACGGAAAGCCTGAACGATAATAAATGGTAAAATAATCTTCAGAAGTTCTCTTCATCAAAGCAATTGAGTAGTAAGACATTACCCATACTGAAAATATCACATTCCTTTTTTTTGTTATAAAGTTTAATTAAAACTTTTTACCTATGTAATATACACGGAAATGATAAATGTTGTGCCAAGGAAATAATATTGTGCTCAAAAACGTATAATGCACCAATATAATTAAATTATATTTAATATTTTCAGTCTCAATTTCCATTTTTAAGAAAAGTTTCGTTCGTTCTAATCGACTCACACGACATTTATTATCATATTTTTCATTTGCGGTATTTTTTCATCTGAAAATGTGCGACATCTACAAGTGATGTTCAGGACTCGGAGACATGTGCTGAATTTGTCCATACAATCAAGATTCCAATTGAAATTAATCATAGAAACATTTCTACAAAAATTGCAACTTTGTGATGAAATTTTTTCAATGTCACTTCGTGTTTAAGACTAAAAAATGAAACCAGTTCAATTGATAGGATCATGTAATAAAGCAACCAAGCATAAGACCTACATACAATATCAAGCTTTTAATATAATACATCTTTGTACAAGGCATTATACAACCGTACATCTTACCCAATTCAAAGTTTTCGGATTTTAAACACCAGGTATTTCGCTGCAAATTTTGCGATGCCGCAAACCCATATCGTCGTTTTGTTTCGAGTTCGGTTGTAGAAAGGTAGTGAACTCATCAACATTGGTATCTAGATTATTTTGTATATTTATGTGACGGTTTGTTCTTTTCATGTAATCTTATATTACCTGCTCGTATTGTTAAAGAGATTGTTCGGCATGATTTTCTGAAACGATGTAATTTATTGTTAGTGAGTTGGAAACAAAAAAATACTGGTTACAAGCAATATACAAATGTAACTCTTTATCTTTCCAAGTGTCGTTCTTCAAAATCAACCAATATTCTGTTTAAAACTGACAAAACTTTCATTGAACGTGTAAATATAGCGGTATTAAAGTTGACAAGATGCCATACTTATTAAAGTATGATACCTGAAATATCGCATATCAGTTTGTCAAACAGAATATGTTAGTTGGCGGAAAAAATGGAAGACTAGTTAATTAATTGAAAAATTTACCCAATCTTTGAAGAAGAGTTGAAATTTTCGTTTTTTTGGGGGGACTATTTCGTGACTTATAGAATATTGTAGGCATTTCAAAATACGGCTTTTCTTCGTTTGTTTCATTATCATCTGTTTGTAGTTTGTTATTTTTACTTGGGGTCCGAATTCGCCTCTTCAGTTGATTCATCTGCAGGAAAGATTAAATTAACTCAAACAGTACAATGTTGTTGCATTTCGCTATCTAACCAGTTCGACTTATTTCATTCACAATTTTTCTAGCTCCACTTAGGCTTACATAATGAGATCGAAAAAATGCAGACGAGTGAATGGAAAAATCGTGTTGGTTGATATAAAAATTCAACACTTTCTAATTTTAGGGAATTAAAACAGCGAGTTATCACAGTATTCATATATTACAACACACATCCAACCCATAGCCCGACAGAACAATGGAACAAGGACCGAACCTCGTTTTGAGACATAATTTTTTTTTATTGTTCAATTATATTTTTGATGACATAAAATATGATATCTGGGCGGATGGGGAGCCTATAATGCTGACCAAAATTTTGTGAATAGATTTTCGTTAGCCTTCACACGCAAAGTTAAACGCCCAAATAATCTGCTTATCAATATTTTTTTGTTTTATATTGATGATTATTTAAGAGCTACACGATTATTTCTTGAAGAAAAAATTACGTTAAACATTAATTTAAAATTTTAGAAATTTCACAGATGTTCGTAGAAACAGACAGTATAGTTAAACTCGCCCACTGAAAACGAGGCACACCCCTTACGCTTGATTTCAATGACCATACTTTCATATTAAACCTACTTTCTAATGGAAATCAGCATAGGAAAACATGTATTCAACACCATTACACATTCCTACACAGATACAACAAGCATCATTAAGATCGATGGCGCATTCACAAAACCCATCCAAATAAAACGTGGAACACGTCAGGGGGTGCCTTCTGAGTCTGCTCCTCCACTTGTTGTGAGACGAGCTGATCCTAGAAAACAAGATCATTGGTGGAATTGCTTTTGGAAAAATAGAAACAAAACTAGAGAAGTGTACCGACGACACCGGCTTTTCAGTAAGATGATGCTTTGTGTTTCTCCAAAATGTTGTGTCCCACTTGCATCATGTGTCCAGGAGAAGTGGGACACACCGTGATGCTTTCCCCTCGACTCAATTTGTCTTCACTCGCATGTAACAATACATAAATAAAAAAGCAAGTGCGATAGAGATGCGAGAATAGGTAATCACGGCATATTCCGGCGGTATCGACGTCAGGATCTGCCAAAAGCATGCAGTGTTCAAATCATGGTTTTAATAAGATATTTCAACTCGGCTATCGAAAACGGAGAACTCGCGGAAGAGAATATTCCTCGCTGGCGAGTTTTCATCAGCCCCTTTTTTTCCATTCATGAGTTCACTTCAATCAGCCAAAACTTCATTGGTGCTGTTTAATAACATTGTTCAACAGCGAACAGAGAAAGAATTTACATTACATGAAACAGATAGACAATGTTCAAGAGAGTATTACCAATTTATATCAATGTATTTTACATGTTCTAGCAAGGCCGTGAAGCGAGCAACTTGTACCTTCAGACTCACATGCATGGATTAAGTGCACAAAACGAATAATGAATGCTCATTCATTAAAGCACAAAATTTTACTTGGATATGCTAATTTGCAACAGGAGGCACTACACAAGTATGAAAGACAATTGGGCAATAATAAAAATGAATCAATTAATTTTGATAGGCGTGGCAGATACCCAACGTACGCTTATCCAAATTTATAATGAATCTCGATACAAGGAAATAGTAGATAAAATTACGTAAAGTCTTATCGTTTTGAAAAATAGTAAAATTACGAAATTGTCAAACACATTTGAAGTAAAGTGACTAATAGCCTTTTCCTTCACTGCCTCGTGTAATGAAAGCGAATAAACAAGTATATTATTAAGGTGATGCACAACGTTTATACGCCAAGCAAGCGACACCAAAATAGTATATCACCTAACACATCTGAAGCAGAATGTAGAACATCATCGACTAGATACAGACTACTTTTCTTTTACAAAAAGAATTTGAAAAACAAAAAATGAAAATATAACAAGAAATAGGTTATGAGAGAGCAGTCAGGAATATTAAAAAGGCAGTAAAGCAACAAAGAATAAAATTGTGTGCTTCTGAAAAAGTTATAGCTGTATCTTCATGAATGCTACTTCAGCTTAATTAAAATAATCCCCCTCTTAAACAAAGCTGGCATTTTTTGCAACAAACTCCAGATGGATTTGCTAAAGAGAATAAACAATTTAGACCAGCGGTTCCCAGAGGGGCCGTTGTGGCAATTTGGTAAGTGCGCCTAGGAAATTAACAGAATTGCGTTAAACCTAACTAATATATGATTGGAGACTTTAAGTATTGTAGACACTACTTGATGCAATTCTGCGAGCTGTAGTTTATTATCTTCTGAACCCATTTAGCAAACATGAGTGATATTTTAGTATTTTAAAGGAAAATTGAACAGAGATGAGAAAGAAGAGTTGACCCTTTGTCTTTAATCTTTAGGTCAACATATTTACAAACTTTAAAAGAGCATAAGTACACACTAAGGATCTTAAAATTGAGTTTTATTTATATGGCCATCACTTTTTTTTTGTGTAAGTGCATTCTTCTCCTGATAATTTGGCACCGCACAAAAAAAAGTTCGAGAACCGCAGACTTAGACAATTCCAAATATATTTTAAAACGAGATGGAATTCAGCATATCCACTCAAAGTATATCCTTATTAATCCTTCAAATCATCAAAGCCCCGACATTGATCTGTAAAGCTGATGTGACCAGGTGGCATGATAGGCGAGGACCAATGTGCTGAGCTGGTTCGTTTAAAATACCGAGATTTTGATCCTCTGAATATTTTCTCCAATTTCAACTCTTCAAGAGCATTGCGAAATACAATTTGCAGATCGGGTGGAGTGTAATATTGCTTAATGATCAGAGAACGAAGCATGGGACCTGCAAATAAAAGTAGACTATGTTATTGCATGCAAAAATTCTTAGGCAAAAAAGGTATGAATATAAACATAACGAAAAGCAGTAGATTGAGCAAAGAAGTCAGGCAAGCTTCCACAAAGAGTCCTCTTCCAAAAAAAATTTCTGAGCTGGTAACAACTGACAGTGGAAACAAGTTTACATTCGTTCTAAATACTGTCCCACCCCCCAAGTGCTACTGTTAGCATATGTATTTTTTGGAGGGAGCGTACAATTTATAAAAAATCTTGAATCTTCAAGTACCGGTAATCGCTTTTTACATTCTTCGATAAATGTTGTATCCACCATGTCAAAAATTTCACGATCTGCAAATATCCACACACGGACGATATGTTCTAATAATAATATTTTACAATACTTTTTTGGGTACCCGTAGTATGTGAACCAAGATGGCGGACACTGGACGCAGTATGTGTACCAGATTAGGGTTAGGACATAATTTCAGGTGCAATACTATGGGAGTCACTTGGCGAGTGCCTGAATTCGTAATAGAACTAAAATAGGAAAATTGGAATAAAATTATGGCCAAACCGTCATCTTGGTTCACATACTACAGGAGTACCCTCTTATGTGTCTGTAAACACTAGAAAGCCCATGTTAAATAAAAGTGCGGCCCACGGTTTCACCCAGTTATTTGTATCTGGCCCTCCTGTATTAAAGATTGCACACCCCTGTTCTAAATAAAAAACAACATTCTACCTTTCGACCATCTTGGTACTACTTTTCTTGGATTGTCCTCGTCATCAGTGCTGTCATCACTTGCAATATCATCTATGTTATAATTATCTTCTGTAGATGGAGCAAAAACTTTGTTCTTACGCAGTAGAGTTATGTCATATGACTGCGGGGAATCATGCTGAAAATATTTTATAAAGGTAATTCACTCTGCTCCCGCAAAACATCAAAAGGAAATTTCATTATAAAATTTGATATATAAATATAATAAATTATATTAATATAAAAATATGAAAAAAAAAAAAATGAAAAAAAATATAAGTCCGAGCAATAAATCAACTCAACCTATTTATATAAAACAGCTGTATTAAAAACAGATGTATAAAACATTCAGATGAAAAAGTTATGCAGCTGAGAAAACCATGAATAAAAATGGTAACTGAATAAGGCTTGTAGAATTTGATTTTGAATGTGACCAGAACCAAATAAAATTTATTATTCTGAATGAAACGCTGTCTGAAATAATACTTCATAATCTTGAAATAAAAATTTGCACAAAAAGTTGTGAATTTATATAAATTGAATTTGGATGACTTTATTAGTTGAGAAATGAGATAGACATTATTTCGCTGATTTTTTCACAGCGTCAAAATTTTAAATCAAAGTCTGTTTTTGTCCTATTAGATGTCGAATAATCAAAATAGCAATTCTTACAATCAAGCTATTCTACTAAATTTTGGATACTAAGTGGACCTATGGATCGTTTTGTTATTTTGTTAGCATTTTTCTTCTTCTTGTTGTGAAAAAAATCGCTTTTCTCATCAACTACTGGACCAAGTGCTTTGAAATTCTCAGTGGTTGGAGATTGTATTTTTCGCTAGAAGGCTATTACTACCTAGAAAACATGGCTACTGTGACTACCAGTACTATTTCATGTCCACATATTATAGCATCGCTCTATTGTTGTTAAAATCAACAATTTACTAAAGCAAATATAAAAAGTGTGAACATTTATTAAATTTTGGATATCCATGATAGAGTTACCGAATACTCATGACAGGAGATTATACAAACCAGGTGAGATGTGTTCTGTTCCTTTGTAAAAGTAGAGTTCTGATTACTAGGTCCAGGAGTATGGTGTAAACTCTGATTGAATGTTGTAGGATTCATTGCTTTCATTCTTTCTTTCTCCTGTTTATGTTCTTCTTCCAATTTTTTCAACCTTTCATTTGATTCCTGAACAGGGTTTCGATTTAGAAAAAGCGACAATTACAATATTTTGTACAGACCAACCACAAAGTATTAAATTGAACGCCGAAATGAAATTGAAGACAAAAAGATTTCTTCCATCTACGACTAAATCTATAAGGGTATTCCTTGACATGTATTTCGCATTGAACATTCTTGCATAGGGCAAAGTACTACTATCATAATAAAGGTCCCATATTTAGCAAAGACCATGAACGGCAAAGTATAACAATGTTTTATCTTGCGACCCCATATGACAGATTCAGATATCAGAATAAGAATTTTTGAATTCTAAAATGAATAGAAAGAAAACCTGAATTTTTCTTAATTTCTCTTTTTCTGCAATTTCTTTTTTCTTGCGTTTTTCTTCATCAAGTCTCTTTTTCTCATGTTCTCTTTGCAATCTCTCCTACAAAAAATAACGCGGCAATATAAAGTACAAAAAAGCAATCTTTCTCTTACAGTAAAATGCATAAAGACTATTTGGTGAAACTTCGTTATGACCAATGATGTCACACCAAAACACAATTGTCATTGCCAAACAGACCTCCTCTCGTCTCATTTCGGCTTCTTTTCTTATTTCTTCCCTTCGACGCTCAAACTCCTCAGCTCGAGCAATTTCTTCTTTTTTTCTTCTCAAGGCTTTTTCTTCTGCCAAGGCCTTCGCCTCTTGATGTTTTCTTTTTCTTGCTTCTTCCTTTTCTTTTCTTCTCATAGCTTCCTCCTGTCGCCTGAGAGCTTCTTCTTTGAGTTTGAGTTGAGCCTCCTTTTCGTTTTCAATTCGTTCTTGTTCAATACGTGCAGCTTCTGCATTTTTCTTTTCGATTTCCTCCTAAAAAAACAAAAAGATTACGATGAGACACAAAGTTGCAGTAGTCCACATTAATACATGCAATTTGTTGACGAGGTAGCTAAAAATGATCAGCATAAAATCATGTACATGGTTGCCCAAAATGGTTTGCAACCAGCAAATTTGAAGGGAAAATAACTTGAATTTGCGAATATATGAAAAATATAAATTTAGAACACCCTTCCGGAAGGCAATCCCACTTTTACTTGAAAATTCAAACACTACTCTTCCAGTAGCAGAAGTAATATTGTTTAAAAATTGCAAACCCATGGCATATGGCTTTTACTAAATATTTCTTCAGATATAAAATTAAGAAACAAATATATATTTTTCCTGTGGAAATCTACCTGTATTTTCCTTTTCTTTCCAGATTCTTTTTCCAATTTCTGTAATCTGAGTTTATCGGCAGTTTCTGCTTTCACACATTTTGCTTTTTCTTCTTCCTCTCTCTAAAAAGTTAAAAAGGGATTTCATAAAAAACTATGTCCCAGTAGTCCAGTACCACGATATGATCAATTCACATGAGCGTTTACTTGGTGATTTCAGAATCAATGTAATTTACACTAATTAATAATAACATATCGTAATAACTCGTCGATAGTAATAACAAATTTGAGCTGACGATGCGGAGTAAACAAAAAAAAACAGATTTAGATAGGAATTTCAATTCAAGTGCCGTATTCACTCGGAAATATTACGGTAAATAAAATCTTCACCTCCATTGTTACTTCTTCCTTTTCTTTCCTCAACTCTTCAGCAATTTCTTTTTCTTTTTTCAGTTTATCGAGTTTTTGTCTAAAACAAATTACATAATTAAGTAAAATAACAAATTATTATACTCAACCAGTAATTCTTTTCACCCATATATCTGTCTACTGAGTATAATGACTGAGTACTCCCGAAGTATGTGTATGAGTTTCCATCTCTTAAAACAACTTGGTGTAAAGTAAGCGAACAAAATTAGTTACCTCCATACTTCTGGAGTGCCTAACATTGTACACAATGAACATTTGTACTGGTATTTAGTAGGCTCTCAAATTGTTTCAAACGTCTGCACTTTGAGAATTAATTTAAACTATGTTGAAATTTTTGCTATTACAAAACATATAGACATAATTTTAGAGTCAATTAACCATGACTTGCAAGTATATTATTAACAATGTTTAAACTCCAAGTAAGAGATTGTGACTTTGCTTGAATGATCCCAGATTTAAGTTTTACACAATTGCTATAAAAGTCGATAAAGTTGAAGTAGCAAAACAGATTATCAACCTGTCGGATTGCGAAACTTAGCTCATAAACCTGTTACAACCCCATAAATTACAATCTTTACATATACCAGTCTGTGCTTTGACCGACAATAGCTTTTCAGTGGGAAATGTTAGTTATTTTACTTGAAGCCAAGTTACACAAATAAAAATTTCTACTTTTCCAATATTTTTTCTTGTTCAGCTTGCTTTTTCATGGCAGCTTCTTGTTCTTTTAACAATTTATGCTCTTGTAATCGTTGTTCTTTTTCCAGTTCCTGAAATATATTGAGAAATTTTTCTAGTAAAATACAATCTTAGCATGGCTAACTAGTTAGAATAGACATCGTCATCAATATTTGTAAATATCAGAGTTGGAGAAATCATGTTTAATAAAATTTGAAGTTGTCTAAACTAAAATATTAAACTTAAAATTTGATACTCTAATACGGCGGTGTGGAACCTTTAATACAAAAGGGCCAGATACAAATAACTGGGTGAAAACCGCGGGCTGCACCTTTATTTAAAATGAGCTTTCCAGTATGTTGCAAGCACAAAAAATTTGGATATTGATCTTATGACATGCGTTTGCTTCGCACAAACTAACTGTTAGGGCATTGCAACGTCATCATAGGCATAGATAATAAATTGAACTCAGGTATAGGCTTTGCAGCGCACAAAAAGATTGGAATTATTGCACATACTAGATTAAACCAAATTGAAAACTCGTTTTGGCCGCGCACCAAATTGGCCCTTCTCCGTGGGCCGCAAAATTCTTCCTTGTGGGCCGCAGGTTGCACACCCCGCTCTAATACCATCGCGAAATCAATGATTATTATTTATCATTGAATATTTGCATTTGAATTAAAGAATAACCTGTTGCTTAATCTTTCGTATCCTTTCCTCTTCTTCTCTACGTCTTTGTTCTTCTGCTTCCACTTGCTTCTTTTTAATCTTCTTTATTTTTGCCGTTTCTTCTTTCTTGCGAAGAACTTTCCCTTTGTCTGCATCAGCAATTCTTTTCTCCCATTGTTCAACTTGTTTCTGTTGTTTTTCCTTTTCTTCTCGCTGACGTTGTTCTCTTTTTTCAGCAGCTTCACGAAGTCGCAGGCTTCGTTTTCTATAATAAACACATAACAAACACACATATAGTGTTGATAAGTTATCAGTGATACCGGTAGTCTTCATGTACTAATTTGAAGATTGTATCTGTAGAAAAAACACTCATGAGAAGGTATCATAACAGGCCTAGTTATTATTCGAAAGGGAAGAGTGAAAATGGCAAAATTGTAAGCAATTGCCTCAATGATCGCACTTAATACTGTGATACCTTTTGAGGGGGAAAATGAGTACAGTTTTTTGATCACTGTTGAGTAATTTAAGAAGATGGCTGTCCTTATGGTGGTACTCATAATTATGGGATTATGTTTATAAAAACAGCATAGTACAATAGTATAACTTAGGATTCACGTATTTATCCTGAGGGAGTGGAAAGCCTATAAGAGGGCGTTATCATATGGCGAACCAAGGCCTCTTGTCTGGTTACCAGTCAATGTCGGGTATAGGATTAGTTACTAGTTAGCCAGTCATTTGTTTACAGATGCATGGACTTGATGTTGAAGGAAGTATTTATCGGCCAGTGGTTACATCAAGTACCCTGCTAGTGTCAAGGAGTCCAGCAATCCTCTCGCACATAATTATCCCTGCATGGGGATCAGCAGGTTAATCAGAGGTGCAGTGGGGACTGGGGAGAGTATCCCCAACACTTCGCCACATCACCAAGTATAATAATTAAGGCAGAACCCTAGTTCAATCTCAAGGTTTGTTAGTCATTAACTATCAACTTTATTATTAACACAACATAACCTATATATAGATATTTACCTTTTTTTCTCTTCAATCTTTTTTTGTTTCTCTTCATCTTTCTTTTTCTGCAATTCTCTCTCTCTTTTTTGCTTTTCTTCCAGCTGCTGTTTTTTCTCTGCGAGCTGCTCCTGGAATTTCCATGGAAACTTGTTTCAATTTTTAGTTTGAGCGTGAAACACTCGACCAAACATGGCAACGACTGATATGATGATGGCACAACTTATTAATATCTAATCAGTGAATTTCATATTTAATTTCCTGTCAGAATAACAAACCAAGCCATCGGTTGATTGCTGCATAGTTAATAAAATAGACTGGATAATCCAGTGGTTCTAAACCTTTTTGTTTTGTGGCCCATTTTCGTTGCCTAAAAATTCTGTGGCCCATTAACTTTTTCATGCAAGGTTAAAACTACAAAAAAAATTACTTTTTCGCAAAAATAAACACTTCGGCTTTAATATTTAGAATGAAAAACAGCATCATCATTCATTACTAGTACAATAAAAAATTTAACTATAGTGACACGAATGTAACTAAATTTTCAAAAACCATAGCCATTTTCTAATAGGTTTGTGGTGCACCAGAAAATGTTTCGTGGAGCAGATGGGATAATTGAGTGAACATTCATTGGATATTATTAGATAGGTTTACTTCAAATGTTTACCCGGATATTTTAATTTTAGGTACCAGGTCAGGGTTAGGCCATAATTTTAATCCGATTTTCATTCTATTAAGAGGAGTGTCTGTGTTAGCCAAGTGAATATACCCCCTGCCCATAGGTTTCAGTCTTTTTATACAACTTGATGCAAAGTAGGCGAACAAAATTAGTTACTTCCATATTGGTAGTACATACTTCCAAATCCGAAATTCGAATCCAATACTTACCTCATAGTCGATTTTCTGTGGAGTATTTCGTCTTATGAATGACTTAACTTCTGTTGTTAGGTTCACTGGTCTGGAAGGACTCATAAAACATATATTCGGTCCAGATAAAGTAGCGAAGGCAAACCCACGGGTACGTGAGGGAGTTTGTGGCCCCGGTGTTCGCCTGGCACGACTCGACGCTGTAGATCTATTCAGAAACGTATTGCGAGATTTCTGAAAATAAAATATAACAATTTTTGAGACAATAATCAGTCATGCCGAGTGATACTTTGTTTAGTTTAACATATACAAAAACACATCTAAGGATGAATATAGTTACTATGATTTTTTTTTACTCTCCACTGTTTGCTCATTATTCCCTTTTCAATATTAGAAATTTATAATAAAAATGGAAAGAAATGTTGATTAATATAACAAAGATTTAAAAGCCATGCAATTGGTTGTAACAGTTTATGTGTGAAGACAAAAAATACGCAGATGTTAAAAACGAAGCAGAGAAAACAAAAATATTAGTCAACCAGAAGATTAGATTAGGACCAGATTAAAATTCCCATAACAGAATAAACAGATGTGAAATAAAAGTGAAACGGCATGTAGACTGTTTTGCTAAGCATACAAGAAATTTGAAATCAAATCTGACAAGCTCAAGACATAACAGAAATTCTATCCTTTATATGGTACGTGCAGAGAAAAGTACCTGTACACTAGCAGGCTGTTTCTTCAACTTTGTTTTATCGAGACATAATGGACTAACACACTTCATGTACTGTATAAAGTAAAAACAATTGTACAGTGACTGAGAAAAAAAAATCAAAAAAAAATCACAAGGTTAGTAGAGAAACAATTCTATTTATACCAGAATTTCGAAAACTTTCTTTTCATCGGTACCCTTTAGAATTTCAAGATTTGTTCATGTACCCCCAAAATTGTACTGCATGCTGTGATTGGACGAAATAAATCATGTGAAATTGGTAGTTACTGGAGTTGTAGTCAAAGCTTCTACTGGAGTGAAATTGCGACTTTGTTAGGAGTTTTTAAACTCAGATCTTCAAATTATTAACATCAGGTGATGAAAAAATATTTTGGGCAGATTAGAAGTTAAACCCAAAGTAATGTACCCCTCAAACCCCTGCTTCATACAGTCAACAACAACCTGACCTGGGCCATGCCTGTCAAAATCAATTTCTAAGAAGATTGCATGTGAGTTATTGTTACATGACTTAAGTATAGAATGATTAGTAAACAACATTAGTAAAGTAGGTTAAGACACTAAATCTGGGTAGGAGCAGCACAGAATAGCTGAACATTAATAAGCTCAGCACAGTTACACCCAAGCAATCAACCACATATGACTCATGCAAAAGATTCATTACCTATTATATAAAGGTAAAAGCATTTTTGGAATAGTTCCTTCCAGAAATTTTGATATTTCAACGAAATTATAAAGTAAACATGGGATTGGGAAATGATGACTGTAACAAACCTATTCTGGGGTTGTGCAACAGGTGGCTCCCATACCACAACAAGGCCCTCCGAGTCTCTCCGCGGGACTCTGGTTGCCATTAATTTTCTAATTCGTTGTGTAAATAGAAAAATTAATTTTTTTTTGTGACCCATCTAGATATCTGAAGTTAGTTATATGGCTCACGGACAAAAAATGTTGCACACCTTCGCCCTATTCTATCCTGCTATTGAACTTACTAGTAAGTTGTAAATATAAAACTCAAAAAGAATGCATAATTTTAGTTTGTTATATTATTTCATTGTGGTAAGTGTTATTCCGATTTTATTATTAACATTATCCAGGCAGTGCTTGCATGTTATTGCACTATAAATAGACTAAGCACCATTATTCGATTCATGTTACACCAACTACTTTATTTTCTCGAGCTGGGGTGAGCAATTACTTTTCTGAGTGGGCCAGTCACATATAATAGACTTGGTTACTTAATATGAAAAATTATGATTAAAAAACAATTTATTGACATTAGTTTTATCAATATTTTCAACGGAAATTTTTTAAAGAAAAAATATAGTTGTAATTCGAGCAGACACAAGTGGGCCGAATGAAACACTTCGGTGGGCCAGATCTGACTTGTAGGCTGTAATTTGCCCACCAATGTGCTAGAGTCATAATATATCAGATGGAAAAATCTTAGATAATTTTTCATTCCAAGCTCACAAAGCGACAAAAATAAACAAAACAACAAATTTTACCTTGTAAGTCACAAGATAAAAAAGAAAATTCAGTTTTTACCTTTTGCCTCGGTTGAGATGGGGATAACATACTACCACTTTCTATTTCGGCAAGATTGCGCTTCGTTCTTGGCATAACACGTTTGGATGAAGAGCTCACTGGCAATTCTGAAAAGTGTAATTTAGTCATTACTTTTCGAATGAGAAATGATCGATTTTAATAAGCACAAATTATTTTATTTGGTATGATGAATTTGGCATTATAAAGGTGTCCATAAAGTCCCTTTACAATTCCAATTTTGTTATGAAGTCAGTTCTCAATATATTTAACCAGGTTTGTTGTTTTTCAATCAGTAAATTTTCAAGTATTTTTACTTCATTTAATACATCTGTGAGGGCCAAAACAATATATGGTAATAATGGTATCCATAAATTCCCTTTGCAATTAAAAAAAAAAGTTAAGACTTTATTGACAACTTATATACAAGAATAACCTGGCAGAACTTACTTCATGATGTCTTTATCACAAATTAAATCAAAATTCACTTAAAAAATGAGATTCCATCAGTAATAAATCTTACGTTTGAAAACAAATAAATATTGAATTCATCCGAGAGAGAGCCAAGCCACCTAACAGCTTGATACGCCAATATAGAAGTGAATGAATTCACAAACTGAATAGTGACTGAAGGCAGTCCAGACCAGAGGGCTAGTCACTCACCCATGTACCTACCCCCCAGAGTCTGGGCAGAAACGTACAAAAAAGGGGCAAAAGGGGGAGGGGGGTTTGAAATTTCTAATTGCCAAATTAGACTGTAACAGCTACCGAGTCCGGATAGATGTTGAGAAACGTAAGTTTCTAAGAGGCTTGGGGTCTAAAAAACGTTTCGAACTATGAAAAATCGCTATGTAAGATACAGAATTTTTTTGAAATTTTTTCGACCCACAATTCCCCAAGACTACGTCCCTTTACCCACCCAGTACCCTTGCATGGAATTCAAGAGTTTAATTTTGCAATGCTTATTAAAATGCACGGGCCTCATACAATAAATTAACTTACTGTTAGGAATAGTCAATTTCTTTCGCAGGACCGGTACAGGTTTTGTTATTTTCGGCTTCTTAGGTTCTGAACTTTCATCACTGGAATCATCAGTGTCTAAAAATATTGATTCTCCATCAAATTTCTGCCAAGTTCCAACTACCGTAATAATAATCTACCTTGCCTTACCTTCTGTGTTTTTGACTAACAGATTTTTTTCATAAGCCTTTTTATTAGCGGCAATTCGCTTTGCTGCAAATTTTGCAGGTGTAGATAAGCGTTTTGAAGCTAATCCAGCTGAAACCAAAATAAAAAACACTTATTTAATAATGCTATTTATGCATGCTATATGGAAACAGGAAGAATAAATACGTAGCTTAAACTTTAAATGCAAAAATTAAAAACAAAAGAATAAGTCTACATTCAATGCCTCTGGGCCATTCCAAGCAAAAGTTGAATTTCATCAATTTTATTAAAAGTGTAGTGAAAGTAATTTTTTTGTATTTTTTTTATACAAAAAGACATTGGAATTTTATTGTACTGCATCCATTTCACCGAAAAAGTTAAAATTTCATCCCAAGTTTTTGATGGTTTTTAGAAAATGGCCTGAAATGTAGAAATTTTTGTATAATTGACATATTTTGTGATGATTCGTGACACAAAGTGTTTGATTGAGTTTAAATGTTTGCAGTGCTGTAGGGACATGACTTCACCCATTTAATGATTTATTACCAGGATTTTAAGAGATGATAGAGGCCGCTGTTCCGAAGTGGAAAAATGTCTTGTAGTGTCACATCCTGTAGTGTCACCTCACATACGATATGCACATTATTGTGATGGATTTACAGTGTTACATTAAGTAACTTGAGCAACACATAGAGGGGTCTTTCAGCTACTGCATCAGAAAATATTATTGGGTCCTGCTGTACCATCGCAAAAATTTACAGCGCAACACAATGAAACGTTGATGCATGGTGGATTTGCCATCCTGTAGTGTCCCGCTATATTTTACTATATTTTTTATATCCACTAAGTAAGTCTCGTGTGTAACTTTGTGCAATTTTTTCCATATTCAATAAAGCAATTGATTGGACAATGAAACAAAATATGTAGCTGAAAATGTAAAAATATATTGCATCTAACAAGATGCAAAATTTCTGGATTTGTCCTGTAGTGTTACTTGGAATAGCCCCTCTTGACAATTCCCAAAATTATGCAATGGCATATGCATATCACCTAATGGAGTATGGCAGGGGTGAGCAGTCTTTAATACTGGAGGGCCAGATGCAAACATTGGGAAAAAAGTGGGCCGCATCTTTGTTTAACATTAGCTTTCTAGGCAAAGGCATGTACAAGATTAAACCAAACTAAAAACTCGTTTCGCAGGTCGTACATGATTCGAAATTCCCTGCGGGCCACACAAGTTTTCCTTGTGGGCCACAGGTGGCACACCCCTGGAGTATGGAATTAAATCATTGTTATCAGACTTTCTAAACTTTTACTTATAAGTTTGGTACAGTTAGTCACCTGACACAGCACATAGGTCCTAACAAGAAGAGAAAGAATGTTTTTGAAATAAGAAATTCAGACCTCAAGAAAATCAATATGCACACAATTGTTATTTATCACTTACCAATTAGACTCGGCCTTTTACTAGCCCTGGTACTTCGACGTGGTGGAGTGTTCTCTTGTTCTTCAGTCTAAAATTATTTAGAAAGGATTCACTGAAACAGTTAGAGCTGGACACCTAGAATCGAATACTTAATTATTCGGTCAATCTTGGATATTATGCTTGTGATCGTATTCGTAACGCATAAACAAATACCACAAAACTCGCACGATCAAGAATTTTTTCTGTTTTTACATGACTGTATGCAATAGCTACTTACTATATTTAAAAGGATACCGTAGTTTGTGGCCCTGTGGGCATAGGATTTGAACAACAGCATGTGCCACACCAGTTATGGTATTTCGAAAAATTTGTAAAAGAATGAATAGAATGTCGATATAATACATCATGCAACAATAAATATGTACATTGCTTTCGTCAACATTACAACCTTAAATCCATGAATAAAATGACTTTCCTCACATTAATATTCTATTTTATACAGCAAAAATATTTCCTTTTTCAATACTTTCGTGATTTCAATATCATGATTTTATTAGTAAGCATATTAAAATATGGAATTCATCCAACTATTAAATACGAATAATATATATTGGCAAATGTACAAACTTGTTAAAATACATTGAATGTAACATGTCTGCTATGTTTCCAACATACCTCTGATGAACAACTATCTTGAGACATACTCGACTGATCTTCACTATCTAACACAACAGTATTGGCAGATGATGAACAGAGTGAAACTGATTGCGACATTGTTGTATTTGTGTTCTCTAGCACTTGTTCTTGAATCTCTATAAAAAAAATTAGTTTTTCCATTTACACAACGAATTCCAGTAATAAAGGCACAAGGTAAAAGTAAAACGGCAAAAGATTTGTTGCAGCGACAAGAGCAAAAACATCATGTATTTTTACCCATGTGAGCGTCTTTTTTAAATATTACCTGTCGGATTATGATTTTATGCTTAATGGGGAAAATCTGAGTGTTGACAAGGGCCACACTGGATGCTTTGGAGGGCTGGGTTGTGGCCCGCGGAGTCACCTTTTGCACACCCCTAGTTTAGAATCTTGAAATAGATTTGGTTTAGGCGTTCACTATATTTCAAATCAGAATATGACACTTTCTGATCAAAAAATAGTTTAGATATAAAATAAAAATATAATATTTCCTAAAACAGACAATCTAGGTATCCAGTCGGCATTTATCATGCACATTCATAGAACACCAGTCTACCATGGAACACTTACCACATAATGCATTTGAGGGAACTGTTCCAACTGGAGTTTCTTTTATTGTGTTAGAAACTAGGTTTTGTAGCCTTATCGATTTTCGTTGTTCCGGTTCATCTTCTGTCGTCTCTTCCAGACTATCTGCAATATCCCTGAGTGAAAAACACTGAATATGAGTAAATAGAAATAATACTAATTAAAGTAGCCAGGGATTATTATTGCAGATTTCAATTTCAAAATATGGTTTTAAAAAATAAAATTTCTCATTCAGATAGTGAAATATTACTAAAGTTTATAGAAGTCAGTGAAACAATTGCATGCTAAATATTATCTATTTTCAAAGTTAGATGCCAAAAATTTTAAACCTGTTTTGAGTATATTTATAACTGCATACATCAGAGGTGTGCAACCTTTAATACAGGAGGGCCAGGTAGAAATAACTAGGTGAAACCGCTGGCCGCACCTTTATTTAACATAGGCTATCTAGTAGGCACATAAATGTTGGGTATTAATCTTATGACATGCATTATTTGCACAAGCTGTCAAGGCATTGTAAAGTCATAGGATTAGACAAATTGGACTCATGTGTAGGCTTCGCCATGCAAAGGGATTGGAATCACTCGCACATTCCAATTTAAATTAAATTGAAAACTCGTTTTGCGGGCCATACATCATTCAAAATTGGCACTTCTCCACGGCCCGCATAAATTTTCCTCGAGGGCCGCATTTGGCCACAGGCTGCAGGATGCACACCCCTGGTATACATCATTGATTTTGCACTTCACACAGTATTCAATCAATCAGTAGATCAAACAATAAAAATTAATATCTCACTCTTCATCTGATGCATCAAATGTTAATGTTAACGGTACTTGAGGAGAACCTTGAATCGTAATTAGAGATAATTCTGGCATTTTTAACTTGGCAATGTTAATAACAGGATTCCTTTGTTTGCATGAGAAAACTTGTTCTTCCATAGACCTGCTTTTCTTTACATCATTAAGTTCGTTTTCTGTTCAAATCGTGAAGATTTTAAATAAATTTATCATGTTATTTTAGCAGTTGAAATACCAAAAGCAAACAATTTTATATTTGCCTGAATTTTAAAGATGATAAAAAAATATACCGGTATAATATTTTGTAATAGTGGTTAATTTTGGCATTTAAGGCATAATATTTTGGCATAATGTTGCAATTCAGTCCAAATGGATATGACCATATTGGTGCGCAAATTCGCAAGTGTTTGTGTCTCTTATTTGTTTGGGTCTCGCAACATAACAAATAGGGCAAGCTATGACAAAATAAAAAGAATTTGGTTGTTTCAAACATAGCAGGTCCTGGGCCATGCTTGTGAAGATATGCATAAACTTCATAAAAATCATCAGCCTCGATAATTTCTATGCAATATTATGACGTTAAACGAGCAATTTTAAATAAAAAATTTAAAAAAAAGTTATGGACTCACCATCCTGCTTAAAATCAGGTGATGCACTGTTTACATCAGTATCATACTGACCTTCTGACACTTTTCTTGAACTAAAAAAGGAAACATATACAGGAGACATTATTACATCATATAATAACCGATGCATTCACGTCCAGTTGTATTCTATCCTGTTTATGTTTACAGGGGCGCAGTCAGTGGGGGTAATAGGGGTCATTACCCCCGCCATTTGAAATTATTTTAATGTGAAATTCCTGCCTTTCGCTTGGTACTAACTAACAGCAAAGGTATTTTACGGTGGCACGACACCGTTTCAATATCAAAACTATATTATTCTGCACATTATCACCTTAGCGCAATTTAAATACCGCCGGACTTTTGATCGTCTCACAATATTTTATCTTACCTTACAGTAATATTCCATAAAAAACATATGGTAACGTAAAAAAATATTCCCATTCTTTATGATATGAATTGATTTTAGATAAACAAAAAATGTTGATGCAGTCGGCTTCTCTCACCTTAGTGGAGCAAGTGCAGACTTCTGATGACTTTTAATCAATGTCTCATGCAGAGATATTAGTTGCTCAATGTCCTTAAAATAATTTGTCATATTAGAAAATATCTCAAAACAAAAAGCCACAATCAATTCTGAAAAAGTGTATGAAGGATTTAATTACGGCAAGTTTGAAATAAATAGTAAAAGCAAAAACATTTTTTTTTCTCAACATTTCAAATTGCCAGAGGCGCACAGCGAGGGATGAACATTCTTCCACACCAGGTGATTTTGAATTCTACAATTCAAAAAAATCCTTACAGCAGTTTCAATTTCTTTTTCTGTTTCCTGCTGGATGGTTTGTTGCACTACTTCGGAAGTTTCGTCAGACTCAGTGTTGAGTAATAACGGTTTTGGATTATCCTGTAATGCTTTTGATTCTTGAAGTTCATTATGCGGAGACTGAGGATCTAGCTCTAACATATTCAGATCATTATTCGATTCACTTTCGGTTTTATTTTGATCAATGCTCAGTTTTTTGTCTGGTGTCATTGCTTCAGCCTCAATAACGTTCCTGGAATTACAGAATTCAACTGTGATGTCACAATGAAATACGTCATTGGACCATTCAAATAATTTACAGTACAGTGATACCGCGGTAGTCCTACGACTCGACACTGGCACAATTCGGTAGTCGACCCAAAATGTCTGCTCAAAAATGATGCGGTACTCGTACGGGAATCTGGTAATCACCCACCCAAGTGTAGCGCGGAGTCAGGTGACACAACCTGAACCGCGCATCTTGTCTGTCTCTCTCCATTCAACAAGAGAGCGAAGCTTAAATATATGGCCACAAAGGCCAGGCGAAGTAGTACGTGTATGTAATCTGTCACAGTAGACTATCGGTTTGTGAATCTTCGTGACTAACGCGAAAGCGGAGCCGCCACAGAGTGCGCAATTTTGATGACGTCATCGCACACAAAAAATGAACCCCATAGAGTCCACAGAAATTTGCTCAAACGTACAGTACCGGTAACTGATACAAATTTTTTTATATTTTCATCTTTTTTATGTAGGCCTACACATTTAAATAATTGTTGTTGAGGTACACGTTTTGTTAATTTTTTGGTATGAATGCGTAAAAACGAATTAAAATAAAATATCATTGTTTCTTATGGTAAAGTAAAAAAGTTTCTGTAGTTTAACAAATCGGTGTTCGAACACCAACCCTGAACGAATTATGTTTGACTACAGAGGTATCACTGTATGTTCATTCGATGAACAATAAATTTAATAATGCTAATGCACTAGGGGGCTCCCGAAGTATGCGAACCAAGATGGCGGACATCGGAATGTAATATGTGTACTAGGTTAGGGTTAGGCCATAATTTTAGGTATAAATACTACGGGAGGCTCTTGGCTAGTCTTCAAACTGATAATAGGACTAAAATAAGGAAAATTGGGAAAAAATTATCGCCTAACCCTAACCTGTTACGTTCCGATGTCCGCCATCTTGGTTCGCATACTTCGGGAGCACCTGAACTAGTTTTTCTAGTTACTGGTGGATGTGTTACAGTATGTTTTATAACTTTGTCTGGCTAATATATTTAATACATTTGAGCATATGCTCCTTTATTTTGATTTATACTATTACATAATATATTATACTGATACAAACATTTTAACATTCTTCTTCTTCTTTGTTGCGGCAGGCATTAATATTTTATGTCCTTCAATACCATTTTCGATATAATTAGAAATTGATGATTTCATCCTTGAAGATCTTGTACTCCTATGAAAGTAAGCAGATATAAATTTACAAAATAATGAAATTCCAAATCCCTCTAGTCCAGTGGTTCCCAAACTTTTTGAAAAAAATTTCATGACAGACCCCTTGCAACTTTATTAATGATTTCCGGCCTTGTGCACTAAAACAAAGCATTAAAAGATCACAATAAAAAATCAATGCGCCGTATAGTGAAACGAACAAAAGAATATAAAGTGCAACTCCAGAAGTTCTCAACGGATACCAGTTTGGGAACCACTGCATACCACTATATGACCTTGCTATATTCCTTTTCACCTCTCATTCTTCCTAGTTTTATAGCTTGATAAGGTTACTTCACAGAGTGTTTTTACTTTGTTGAGCATGAATTGTTTGAACATTAGGGTATTTGAAATACACAAATCAGAATAACACTATAAAAGTCAATGGAATGATGAAAAGAGGCCATAAATGCTAATTGCAATTAATAAAAAAAGTCTAAATTTCATATATAGCTCATACATAGAAAAACAAACAATACTCAAAGTGCAATTCAATAAGTAACCTTCTATTAACTCTGGGTTGACCCTTTCTTGCTCTTGTTCTTTTCGTTTTCTTTGTGTGTGGAGTCACCGGAGGTATCATAACTCTTGGCGCATCTTCAGATGAACTTTCATAATCACGTTCTCTAGATATATATTTAACATTATGAGAGATATATTATTTATGAAGAATAAAGCACTGTTACTGATGTATGGATGAATAATCAATTTCTTCCTAATGATATGCATAACAACAAGGATGGGCATGGATTGAAATCCTGAACGATTCGCATCCCTGATAACAGAATTTGAATTACCCCACTTCCGCACTGTACAATCTGTGACTTTCCCATGACAGGGATTACCTGATCAACATGTCTCTTTTCACATTTTTTTTCCTTCTAAAAATTAATTAAGATGCGAAAGGAAAACTTGACAGTGTCAAATTTTTCAGATTAAGAAAGCCAAAATGTTTAGTTTACTTGATCAATGGGAATAAAAAAATTCAGTTTTCTGAATTTTATTCAAATATTCTAACATGGAAAATTACTCTGAATTGCCGACCCCTAACCCTACATGGTGAGCTAGTTTGAAATCACAATGGATCTGGTTCCAGCTATAAGTATAAGTTGGTTAGGGGCGAGTGTGGCTGAAATTTTTGATTGTTCCGCCTCCAGTTCCATCTGGTAAGCTTGACAGCTCAGCTCAGACTTCAACAAAAAACCCTGGATCCAGATTCAACCCCCTCAACCCAACCTAACAATAATCTCATATTTGGGAACCAGTACTTAAACAGACATACCTGATTTCATTCACAGAACGCATCAGAGTTTCAAATGATTCATTCACGAATTGCAGTGCTTCCTCTAACTTCTTTTGAGCTGCTTTTTGTAATTCTGCAAATGGCCAAATTGGCATAAGATCATCTTTGTTAATTTCAAGAATCCTTCCGCCATTGGCTTGTAGTTGCCTGAAATTAAAGAGTAATATATAGTAAAAAACAAGAGTATAACCAGCTGAAATGTGGTTAGTATTGTTGTGTTTTAGCGTGGTCTACGCAGTTTGCAATAAACTTCGTTCTGGATATAAAATCTGAACTAAAATACACACTATGATGTGAAGACATTATCGAAGTTTTATAATAATACACTAAAAGCTTAATTGATCAGTAAACAACAACAGAAAATGATATCAAATCTAATTTCCTGACTTAAATACTCACCCACAAGTTGTTGGCCAAGGCAACACCAAATTTTCATCTTTAATTCTCAAAATACCAAGCTCAAGAGACTGATCCATTGCTGTAATCAATACGCAACTAAGTAGATGTTACCCTGACTAAAGAAAGCAAGTAAGTTAGTACATTTGCATTAGACTGCTAGACTCAAAACTCAATTTTAGTGCAGTAGTGTGTCACCCAAGTTAGGACATTGCCTAAGCTTGACGACACTTTGCTCATTTCAGACCTTTACCCCACTTATTACTTATCGATCTTAAGATTGGTAAGTATGTTGATAGGTATTTGTCTGTTTGTTTGTCTGTTAGATACAGGCGATATCTCACGAAAGCGAGAATGAATCCGCTCCAAATTTTGCATATGCATTCATCATATCTCGGATCAGAAGCCTATTGATTTTGGATGAATATGTCGTATAATTAGCGAGTTATTAATTAAATAGTGATGGGACGGACACAAGGTGTAACTATGGAGTAAGAGCGCTGTTTTGGGGGATCCCCTAACTTTCGATTGATAAGTCTTCGGTCTCTGACCGATATTCTCGTTGAAATGTTGCCCCATTCAACGTTTGTAATTAAGCATTTGATAAAGTACCAATCATAATTCCAATTTCGTCTGGACAATTTTGTATTTGAGCAATTCCATCTAAAGTGTAAATAAATAGAGTCTAAGAGAGCTCAATTAGATAGATAGAAATATAGTTTATTTCGAAAACTCCATAACAAACATAAATTAAAAATGGAGAATTCTGAAGGGCAAGCAAAACCTATAAAAAAGTTTAAAACATCAGGAGTATCTCATGTGCCTGCCCACCAGCACGCACACAAAAACACAAGCCCAATTAAATGAGGCTTGGGCCAAACTTGACAAACAAAATACACGATAGTATTAAATTTTCGGGCTGTTGTACTTTCAACAATTACGGTGATAATGACCAATACCTACAACCTCATGCAAAGACTGAAAGATAATGTGGGCCGTGGGGAGTAGAATGTAATAAATTTGCGACGATAGTCATACTCATTAAGCCATGAAAGCTTTGAGAAAAACCAAGCCACGAAAAATTACGCTGATTGCTAGATTGGGCATTGCGGAAAAGGTGATAGGTGCTTTAATATACAGACGCAAAACAATGGCGGCAAATTCGGTATGCGGTCACTCATAAAAGCAGTTATCAGGAAAAACACTAATCCCACGTGAGCAGGTCTGTACCCAAATTCAGTAATTGAAACATTGTTAAAACAGTACCAGTATACACACAAATCAAACATATGCCATTAAATAGATGTTTAAAAATGTTGCGCATTGATATGGTCATAAGTTACAATACAAACTATTTACACATACAGACATACTGGTACTGCAGTACTGACATATATCTGTATATAGTTGAATACCTACTCCTTTAGTATTCAAGCGGAATTTCCAGAAATACCAGTACGGGTATCTGCTGACAGTCCGAAATTCAATATCATACTCTTTGTCACAAAATGAAATATCTGAATCAATCCCTGATGTATTCATCTTTCGATGTATCGATCTTGTTTCATTGAACCAAACGTCAGAACATCTTGAAAATCAAAGAGCTGTATCCTACTGAAATTCAGCGTTTACAATATTTCACAAGTTTACAACTTAGCTGAATGTATGATAATCAATACCGTACTGTCCAGCACCGTAAATCCTAATTCTATAAATTACGTAATTACTGTACTGTCAGACTGCTAGGTCAGTACAAGGTGACTGGTGAGCCTAGGTTCAGTACTACAATATCAGTACCGTACTAGGCTACCTAACTTATGTATATTCCAGTATTCTGTAAATACAGGTCTGCTAAAGTAGCTACACGTTCTGACATTTACCTGTACCGTAATTCGGTGTTATTTCAGTATTTGGCTAGGCCGTTCTACAAAATTCAAGCTAATAATAATATTACAACCGTATGAATTGTTTACAGCAGTAGGCTACCGGTACTACTCTATCTCAGTACCTGGATACCAGTACACAAATGCGGTGGTACCGGTACCGGTACGATACGCCACCCGTTCACTTATCTGGCTACTGCATTGATTGATTGATTACCTGTATCGGTACCGGGTCGAGTCAACAACAAGACAAATTTGCAAAGGTAAGAAATAGTTTGTAATTGGCGGGCCTTTGTGTGCGACGAAGCGAAACATTCGGGCAAATGAAAATAAAAGTACAAAAATGGAGACGTATTTGTTATTTTTGTGAAATAAAATAATAAAGTCATTAAAGGAAAATTTTGAAGTGCAATTCACCAAACAACAACTAAAAATCAGATTCCTCCGAAAAATTCCTCTTATACTTTACCATTGCAAAATTTTCGGGGCTATTTTAGGATGCTTTTGCGAGTTGGCGCCTGTAAAACGGGGTATGTGTTACAAACCATCATTATGATTCATCGCATACAACAATCAGTTTTTTAAAAGTACCGGTAAAGAATTTTAGCCTAGTTTATCACACCTATTTCTACATTAATTTGATTATTACTGTAATTAAATTAAAACTCCTAGGAAGACAGAGTGATCATTGAATTGTCTTATTTATATTTAAGTTTCCGAAACACAACAGAAAACTAACTAATAAATTCCAAAAACGCGAAAACGAGGTAATGTTTACGACCACTCTTGAAAATCTGTCTGAGCGGACGCGAAAAGGGAGCATTGCTACGTCACTTTTTGCATCTTGCTGATTGGCCAATGTCACGAAGTAAACAAAGAAGCCGATGCTCGAGGAAAGGCCTATATACCTCGTGAAGAGGCTGATGGACACATTATGAATATAAAGTTAACAAAATGTCCGTAAATTTTGTTGTTTTGTATATATTTACGGTTTTGCAGGTCTCTTCGTCCTATTTAGTAGACGCTAAACCTAAATTTAGCAATTTTTATTAAACTGTATTTCAATGGGAATTCCAGGGGATGGGATGGGACAGGCATAATTGCTATGGGATGGGATAGGAATGGGACAGACATATATGCCCCATGGACAAGCCTGGCGATTTTTCATATTATTAAGGTTCCTACACTGTACTCAATGCACTCTGTGTTAATCTTTGTATTTAAAGGTAGGCCTAATCGATTCAGGTTGGAGTTCCGGTAATGCGACATCTTGGTGCGCATACTTCAGGGGTACCTAAAAATGAACATTTTCAAACTTAGCACCATGTCGTTGCTCCCAAGAGGGGCGAGACTTTTTTGTTTGATATTAATGAGGTTCCTAAACTTCACATAATACACATCGAGTTGATCGAGCAGCCCTTTTCGCATATGTCGGCATGGGTGAAAAAATATACACTGTTCAAACCTTAGCAGCAGGTCTTTCTGTACAAAAGGGACGAGATTTTATTGTTCAATATGGGAGAGGAAAGCCGATAGAACGACCCAATCATATGGAGAACCACGTCCTCCAGCACCAGTGCATGTCAGGTATAAGATCAGTTATCCAGGTACTTGTTTTTGGTAGCATGGACTATATGGTGGAGGAAGCCATAACCGACCAGCGGTTTAGTGAACCACCCTACGGCTGCGAGGAGTTCAGCAATCTTTTCGCGGCCATCACCATGCTTTGTTTTAATTAAACAGTCGGATTCCCCTGGATAGAGCCTACGCGCGCCACCGTGAATAGAACTAATGGGGAAGGAGGGAGTAGAAATGGTGTGAATAGCAACGAAACAAGCAACAATACGAAGGATGGACTCCAGGTTCCGACAAAATTTTCTCTGATCTCCAACGCGTCGATGAAGTTTCTGAAGCTGATTATTTTAGTGCAGGGGCGGGCAAGGTTTTTGACCACGGGCCATAAATTTATCCACCTAGACTGGCGGGCCATGTTAATGTGACGCCAAAAGTTACATTTAGGAACAGCATTTTATTTAGTGTTACAAATAAAAAAGTAGTAAATAATAATCCCAGTGCCAAAACTAATCGCAATGTCAACAAATTCCTTGAGCTATTTTAGCTCAAACATCAAAATTGGGTTTTAGTTCGGCTGCACCGATATACGAGATTCTGGCTTTTATTTGTAACTGAACCTAGAAATATATCCCAGAGGTCATGACAGCTAGATATATCGCAAGGGACAAGCCGAGGAAGTCGATATTGCATCGGGTTGATACGTTTTCGACATCAGGCGTCAAACTGGATGAAGCCTAGTTTAAAACATTTTCTGAACAGGAATCACTAATTCGAGTTCTCAACTTGTTTTTTGTAATGTTCATTTTCGAAAATAATTGTTCGCACACATATGTACAATTTCAAACATCGATGCAAACTTTTTCGCATGGTTTGTCAAATTTGGATAGTTTTCTTTCAAAGGTACTTTTTATAAAAAATGAAGCAGTGATAAATTTCTCTAATATAATATATAGATTTATATCGCGCATTGCATTGCGTCTCAAAAACTTCTATTTGAATACGAGTAATTGTGAATTATATACTTGTTAGGTTATAATATAGTTTAGTATACACATGTCTCACAACTAATTCTGTTACTAAAGAATATAATGGTCAAAACAGCCGTTTTGTTACTATAATTCAGTGAAGCGCCGCGGGCCGGTTTTGACACACGGGCCGTATGATGCCGACCCCTGGTCTAAAATCTAGATACTTAAGAGTAAATGAATCCTGGATACAAGTTAACGATTTTATATTTCAACATCAAATCTATGCGGACATGAATGCTGGCTTGTTCAAATATACGATCCCACATCTCTTTAAAGAGATGCTAACTATTTTAAAATGAATTGAGTTTTGTTCAAGCAATCTTGTTGTACTGCAAAACTGCACTAAAAATAGTAAATGATGTACTTCAATCCAAGAGCAGCATGTTAATTCTAGAGAATGAAATATAGCATGACTGCATGAAAAAGCTAATAAAAAATCGATACATAAATTCTAGCAAGCTAATAATATTAAAAAAAATTAATGCTACTATAAGATTTTAACAGACACGACATAATCTCACAATTGCTTAATAAATCAAGTGCCAATGCGCCATCATTCAGTTCTTATTAAGCAGAGGTAAACTGTACGCGTATAGCCAATCAGTTTTGTTTTTATTATCAAATGTTGGTATGCTGAGCAAATCGCATTGTCCTCCTTTCTGATAATTGTTATTATGCCCTCAGTACAGAGAAAACGTCTGGTTGTTAGTTATGTATTTCCCTATTATAACTCAATACAACTAATTTTTGACATCTACTGGGAAAATCCTACATATAATTTTCGTATTAGAGTGTCTTTACTTCAGGTGGAAATGTAAATAAAATGTAAATTTTACTTCCGAAATGTGCAAAAAAGCATAAATTAGAGAATGGTTCAAAAACCCTGCATTAATTATTTTTACATCTCATATTTCCAACATAAGCAGAAATTGTGATTATATTTGTTTAAAGAATCTAGTCTAATTGAAGCTGATGATATTTGTGACATGTTTCTAAGAATTATGATAGTTTAAATTAATGTTTATCCATTTATCAAGTGAAATCATAATATACGTAAATTTTAAGGAGTGAACTTTGTAGCATATATCCTGTTTCTCTGTAAGATGGATCAGTTTGGAATATCCCAGGACCCTGAATAAAAATCAATGCTTAGAATTGATAATGTCTCCCTCAGTTTTCTCTGATTTCCACGTAGCTCCTGTGTTTTCAGCGATAAATCCAAATAAATCAGCAACTTCATCAATCTGACGTAAAAAAGACAGAAAATTGTAAAATTGTAACTAGTGCCCATATGCAAGACAAGAAAATAGAAATTGATTTGTATGTTAGTACTAAAATTAAGGTTACAATTTTCCAACTTTATCATGAAGGATAAGTTTAAAAATGAAACGGATGATGTGCATGTGATATGTGCAACATTGACTTTTTGTCAGGTAATCAATCCAGTATTAGCTACAGGCGGAAATTGTAACTAAAACCTAGGCTAGGATAGGATTTACATATTTATCCCGGGGGAGAGGAAAGTCGAAAAATAGTATGGCTTAATCATATGCCGAACCATGATCTCTCGTCCGTTTACCAGTGCATGTCGAGTGTGGGATTAGTTATTTGTTTTTCAGATGCATGGACTTGATGGTAGGCATCTGCACCCGACCAGCGGTTACATTAACCACCCTCCAGCGACGAGAAGTCCAGCAATCCTCTCGCACAGGATTCGAACCTGTGAACCCACAGGGTAATCGGAGGTGCTGAGACAGAAAACCATTTCCCTGAGTAAATTTCTCAATTAATCCGATGAGAAGTGCACCCCCCCAAAGTGTCACTGACACTCATCTATTCTCACTGATAGACAAGTATCAAGTGTTTGGATTTGGACGAATCAAATACACCCTAAATTTTGATTACCGTAAATCACAAAATAAAAATGAAGAAAGCTATTCAAGAATTATACAAGTAATACAATCCAAAAAATGATTCAAACTTACAATTTTCGAAGTAGGTTTTCCTGCTCCATGACCTGACTTTGTGTCAACCAATATCAGCAGAGGTTTTTTCTGTGTTTCCCTTGACCCATGAACTTCTTGTACTGTGGCAATGAACTTCAAACTATGATGAGGTACAACTCTGTCATCATGATCACCTGTCAGTAGTAATAACGCTGGGTATTGTTGCCTGTTTTTTCCAAAGTCCCGAACATTGTGTAAAGGAGAATATCTGTTTTTAATAAATGTTATGTTAAAAATTATTGGTACAGGGTGGTTGAAGTAAAAAATAGAACTCGGATCATTTGAAACATATCCCAGAGAAAACATAACTTTTGTGCAAAGCATCCTAGATTACTGAAACTTTTGCGTACAATCATAAACGCTCAGAAAATCGATGGCACAAAATAAATCATGAAAGTATTTGCTGGGTTCTTTTTTGGTTCACCGTGTATATAACTCTATGACACTCTTCTTGAGTACCGAAGCATGCTTTCTATAAATGCTTTTCCACAGAGATACAACGAAACAATCATTAACAGAAAGATTTTTTTCTCAAATCTGAGTATTCAATATCATCTTTAAAAGGATTATGTAAATATTTTAAAATTTATTATCAAAGTTAAAGGAAATAGAAGAATACTTGACACCACGCATGTAACAAAATTGGGCTGGGTTTTTCTCAGAATACGGAAGGTAATCCTGAATCTCAAAAGTGAAATTGAACAATCAGACTCACTTTATCAACCATTTAAATTGATCATGTTTTTCAGAACATCCAAAATCAGTCGTCCATGCATGTCCAATTGTGTATTTATGAAATTTTAGCATGTCCATGACACTGGAAAAAAGGGTGTATAAGCAAGGTTTAAAAAAATAGTATCTTACATAAGAATAACCATCTTTGTGGAAAAAGTTGTAGGATGATGACTACATAATTAAGCCAATGTACGATATATCAAGTTATCGACATTCCAGAAGTGTGTGTACCAATATGGAGGTAACTAATTTTGTTCGCCTACTTTACATCAAGTTGTGTAAGGGACTGAAACCTATGAGCAGGGGGTAAATTCACTTGGCTAACACAGACATTCCCGAACTCGTAATATAACTAAAATAAGGAAAATCGGAATAAAATTATGGCCTACCCTAACCTGGTACATACACTACGAGAGTACAAAGTTATCTTCAGAATTACAAAACATTCAAAAGTACGGGTACATAAATTAAAGGTGACTAAATAACATAAACTGAAAAAGATTTAATAAAAAAGAATCCTTCATAAGCAGGTTCACTTAAGAATCTTGCTGACATACCCAACTTGAGCCACAGCACATCCGAACAAATCAGGTCTCTGATTTATACACGCACCAACCAGTAAACCTCCATTCGATCCACCATTAATTGTCAACCTTAACAAAATACAGTCAAGAGAAAAAGCCGGCATCATTTAGAATTTAGATCAGAGGTTTGCAACCTTCAGTGAAACTATGGGCCGCATCTTCATTTAACATTGGCGATCTAGTGTTGCATGCACAAAAATTTTATTTTTACATGCGTTGCACACCCCTGATTAGGATGATGCTAACAGACTTTAAATTACGAAGATGGAAGTGTTGTTTTATAAAAATAACACATAAAAAGATCGTTTTAGGAGGGAAAAGGCAAAAAACAAATGGAAAATCTGCTTATATTAATATTATTTTTTAATTATTTTCATAATTTTTAATTTTTTCAGTAAAAAACGAATCACAAATTCATACCTCAAACATGAAATGAAACTAGTAAATATCAAACCTTTTTTTATTTGCCTTAAAATAAAATGAAACTTACTTATCTGGTGATGTATATCCATTTTCTATCAAGTACAAAGCAGCATGCTGAAAATCATCAAAACAATTTTGTTTATTTTCCAACATTCCTCCTTTGTGCCAGGTCTCCCCATATTCTCTGAAACAGAAGAATTAAACCAATCTTGTATTACTTTAAGTAACGTACCGCTTGGTGTCCAAACTGCTGTGAGTTCATTTATGCTGGATATGAACAAATCATTGATTGGCACTTTGTAAATACATATATATATATATAGTGATACCTCGGTAGTCGAACGACTCGATACTCGAACAATTCGGTAGTCGAATAAAAAATTCTAGTCAAAATTGTTGTGGTACTCAACGAATACTCGTTGCTGAATACTGGAATACTGAGCATGCCGTCGAGTGAGATGACGTCACCCAAACTGCGCAGTAAACAACCAAAAGAGCAATCAACACGACTAATGTGAAAGCGGAACTGCCACAAGATGCGTAATTTTTGATGACATCATCGCACACAAAAATGAATCCCATAAAAATTTGCACAAACGTACAGAATCTAATACAAAATATTCCATAATTTATCTTTATTATGTAGGCTACACATCTGAGTAATTTCTGTTATTTAGGTACACGTCTTGGTAATATTTTGGAATGCGTAAGATAAGATCGAATTAAAATAATAACCATTGTTTCCTATGGCATAAAAATTTGGGTACTCTAACAAAGTAGTAGTTGAATAACAATCCTGTACGAATTACGCTCGACTTCTGAAGTATCACTGCTGCTATCAAAAGCTTTTATAGAATTGTATATGCATGTAATCCATGTTTATATACTTGAATTTTATCCTAGAGAAACCATGCATATACACAAGAACAATCACATTATAACAATCAAATCTTGAGCCTTTATCAACAAAAGAACCTTGTTGAGAGTTATTCCCGACAAGCGAAATGTCTAAAAAAAAGCGTGAATTCTTACCCGCCTCCTCTAATGTTTGCAATGGCGACAATTCCTCCTAAATTTTGCATAAATGTAACACGGGAAACACTGTAGGTAGGTGTGATTGAAATATTGAATCCACCATAGCCATACAGCAATAAGGGATGGCTTCCATCCAGTTTAATTCCCTGCAAAACAGTCATTTCCATCACAATTTCACAGTGAACAGGTTAACAATTAAACTTTCTATAGAAAAAAATCAATTTTGCACATTTTGTGGATAAATGTCTCAGTCATAATGATTGGAGCACTGGCTTAACTATTTTAGCAACCTCCAGTCAGACAGTACATAGCTCTACTTTCGGCGCTCCAGAAGTGTGTGTACCAATATGGAGGTAACTAATTCTGTTCTCCTATTTTACATCGTGTTGTGTAAAGGGACGGAAGCCTATGGACAGGGGGTATATTCATTTGGCTAACACAGACAGTCCCTGAACTCGTAATAGAACTAAAAAAAATCAGAATAAATTCATGGCCTAACCCTAACCTGGCACACACACACACTACGAGAGTACCCTACCTTTTTAAACACAACCAGTGTTAACAAATTATATAGTTTTTCTAACACCAGCTATATCAGTGCAGCGGTTGATGCATCATGCTAAGCGTTGGTTATAATCTTGTCATCCATATTTGATTACTCAGCGTGGGTTCGAATTGAGAATAATTCTGTGCTGAAAGATTGCTGGATTCCTCATTGTTGTAGGATAGTTCACATAACCGCTAGTCGGTTTGTACCCAAAAGTTTCACAAGAGGTATGTTCACTCTAGAATATGCTCCAAATGATGTTGGGTGGTGTTCATTATAATTATAAAATATACAAATGAATATGTATCATTGAATGTATAAACCATCGATTTCCAACTCCTCCCCCCCCCCATTGGGGCCACAGAGCGGTTGGAGGAGGGCCACAATGTTAGTCGAAGAACTGATTTTACATTTCCCTCTACAAGAAAACTCCCCGGTCCCCGTTCTTCCTAATTTCATTGCTGCTTGGCAAGGTTATTTAACACAGTGTTTCTATCTTGTTGAGCATGAATTGTTTGAACATAATGGGATTTGGGATCTACCAATAACACTATAAATAACGGTAATGGTAAACAGGGGGCCATGAGCGCTAAAAGTCTCAAGAGGCGGGCCACAAGCCATAAAACGTTGGGAACCATTAGTATAAACAATTACCTTTCTCTGGACAATGAACATTGGTATTTTAGTTCCATCTTTGCTTGGATAAAAAACTTGTTTAGTTTCAAATAAACTGCTGTCGAATCCAGAAACTTTGATTTCTCTGAATACCTGTAACAAGAAAAATTAACATTTTTTCCAAAATATGCCATTCTTATTATGAATACCATACAATACTGTGCATACAGTACAGTAAATACATGTATGTTAGTCAGTTTCTCAGTCTGGGTCCTTGGGCCCCAGGGGGGCCAAGGAATGATTGTCTGTGGGCCATTACGCAGGGATGGCCAATACCGAATAGTTCACTATTTCGAATACATTCGAAATTATTTTTTTCGAATATGAAATTTCGAATACTTCGAAAATAAAATCCACTAATTGAAGCTTATCTAAATGTATGTAGGAATTTCCATACAATAAGCAATGGAATAACTGCTATCTAGAAGTTACAACCTAGCTTTATTACCAGGCATTTCATATTTGCAGACCATTGCAGTATATATTTCATATACCATGAGTCATGTTAACAGAATTAAAATAAATCAATACGACAATAGTGGTATCGGTGATGGATTTGAATATTTGCGCAACACAAAATCATCCTAGTAAAACTCCCATACTTTTAATTAAACACCAACCATTATCCAAATTATTTGCCGATAAGCGGGATAAAGTATGAGTTATTTTTCTGACTTGTGACAATTTATTTTTGTGAGTACAAAAATGCGAATCAAAAATTAATTATATTCGGGAACTTTACCACACATTTTAAGTCCGCAGATCGCCGTTCTATGTTTGAGTAATAATAATTTTATTATTTTATAAATAGGAATCAAAAACTATTTATAATCGGGTAGTTTATCACACATTCTAAGTTCACAGATTGCCGTTGTATTTTGTAAATACGAAAATAGGAATCAAAAATTACTATTAATCGCGAGTTTACCTCTATTTGAAATGCCTTACCGTGTTAATTTAATTCTATTATCATAACTCAAATGTTGGTAAATCGGGCAGTTTACCACACATTTTAAGGCCACAGATCGCCGTTGCATTTTAGAATTATAGTTTTATTATTTTGTAAATACGAATCAGAAATTAATTATAATTGGGCAGTTTACTACATATTTCATGTCCACAAATACCCGTGGTATTTAGTATTAATACTTTCATTATTTTATCAATATGAAAATAGGAATCAATATTTAATAATATCGGTCAGTTCACCACACATTTTATGTCCACAGATTGTCGATACAACCATGAGTTACGTTGAACAGAATTAAATTAATACAGCATGACATTTTAATAAATGCTGTTACCAGTCATGGATTGGATTATTTTGCGCAACAAAAATCATCTTGGTAAAGGATCGATACTTTTAACTATCGTTATCAAAATTATTTGCCAGAAATTATTTTCTAATAAATCGACTTGTTTTTCCAACTTGTGACAATTTATTGGATACGTAACAATTACGGCTATAAATACCGTATTTCCGTAAGTCCACATGGCAAACAGGACGATGTCTATTTTTAGCACTCAAAAAAGGGGTTTTTCCATATAGGCCTCCAATAAGACGGGTAAAAAAATTGTGTCCCTGTTGTTCAGTTATCCTAATATGCGCTAATAATTTTATATGTTTAGAACCAGATCATTTAACTATATTTAACAATAGAGCGGTAAATTTAAGTTGTAAAGCGGCAATCATTTTGGACAACCTATTAACACGAATGTTGAAATAATTTTGAAATGTGATAAGTACTACACTGTACGTCCACGAGTAATTTCACAGCTGTGTTTTCCTGTCCCTGTCGTGTTCTGCTGAATCGGCAAAACGAAAGGGTCACAAATCACTTTATCTCGGTGGCCGTGTTTCTCTTTTAAAGTAACGATAACCGGCCTGCGATTAAATATCATGATTGGCAGACCCTAAGACCCAAATATAAGGTTACACAAATCTTGCTTGAGAAGACTAATAAGCAGGCCACATAAAAATAAAATAAACATACTTTCACAATTAGACGCCCCCACCCCGCCTAGAAAAGCGACTCATTAGACGAATTTTTGACGTAATGGAAATGAATTTGTAAATTAAAAGCCTCGTAGACGAATGTCGGCAATGTCCACCCGCGCAAACGTGCAAATATGTCGCAACACTATGCGACGTACGGTCGCACAGGATATAAACAATCAAAATGCCGATTCTATTTCATCGTCATTACAATACGTGAGACAGCGTAAAAAGTCGTTTGAAGATTCCCGTAAAACGAAACACCACGTTTACGGCGAAAAGTGGCTACTATTCGGAATTATTCGAAAATCAGCCGAAAAGGTATTCGAATACTTTGATATTCGAATACATTCGAATATTCGATTCGTTTTGGACAACCCTGCCCATTAGCAAAGGCCTTTACTAGATACCATTCGTAATGATCAGATTAATTCTAAGAAGTTTGACTGTAATGCTTTTGATTTCGCTAGTCAGCTTTTGGGCGTGGCGTTCAAGCCACAACTTGGAGAGCAGGAGTGGGTGATTACAATTCTGTATGGGCCAGTTACACATGATAGCCTTGGTTACAGGATTAAAGGCTCAAAACTCAATATGAAAAACTATCAATAAAAAAAAGGTATATTTATGCTAGCTAGTCTAACAGCTGGCTAATATTATTATATTAATAAGAAGCACAGTGTGAGAATCGGGGTCATTATGACGTTATTTTCATTAATATTTATAACAGAAATTTTTATCCATAAAAGAATAGTCTTAATTTCAGCTGACACAAGTGATCGAATGAAAGACTCCCGTGGATCGGATCAAACCTGCGCACCGTAATCTGCCCACCCCTGGTTGAGAGTCTCTCAAAAAAAAGTGGCGCGAATCAAGAAAGTTTGAGAACCAGTGGTTCTGGATGAAATAATGTATTATAATGAAATCATGAAAAAGCAATATAGTATTACTAACTGTAGATTCCATATTTTCAGATTCCAAATCACAATGATAAATGATACCAGGAGAAAGGAATGAAGTGAATTTATAAAATAATTCATGCTGATTTTTTCTCCCCGAAATCCCTTCTAACGAACCAACATCCAATGGAAATGTTTTAATCAAACTTCCATCTTGAAGCTTCCGCAGTTGCATGACACTCTGGATGAAAAGGAAAGCGTAAGAGATTGATTTTTAATTTTTTTGATGACTTTTCAATTTTGCAAAAAAAAAAGATTTCTTATTTCAAAGTGATATAAATTGCAATTAATAAATCCATATTGAGATGCTAGTCATATTAAAATTAAAATGAGTTTTACAATAAAATAAAAAAGCAAATACTCTTTATTTTCCCCAAAGTTTTGGATGCCGATATCATTAGTTGTTTCCAACCTGTGCATGTTGGCAGTGTTTCTTTTGTTTATTAAACTATCATATGCCCACCATTAGTTGTACGGGACACATCAAAGTTCTTTTATATATATATATTCCAGAGCCTAAGAAAAAGCATAGCTTCTTCTCAAAGTTTGAAAATACTGTAATTCTATCTTGTAACGAAGAAACCTACTGGCAACAAATCCCAATATGCTGTCATGATTAAACTGTAAGAAATTGTTTACTAACAAAAAATAGCAAAGTATTCAATATATACAAACACAGTTATTATTATTAACCATTAGCATTTCCGAAAAAAATAAAAAATAACAGCTATTCATACCTTGACATCAGATAGATACTCAATAACAAGTTTATCCTGATGAACACAATTGGCAAATTCCAAGACGTCCTTGTCATGCTCATCTATCAAATTCTTCCAGTTATCCTGAATGTATTATTTGTATATGATTATGATTGTATGTTTTAGGACAGGATACATTTCTAGTTTTACGCAAACTGTGCCATTTATAAATCGAGCATTTTTTAAAGTTAGGAGCATAACACAAACTGATTATGGTGAGGAATAACGTAGTGTCAATAGGTTCAGGAAGCTTACCAACCAGAGATTTTAAACCCATGGGTATGTGCAGTGGCTTGGGTCTGGTTTGAAATCACAATGGCTCCAGTTTTTCCAAACTGTGGCTCCAGCTCCCACTCCATAGCCATTGCCATTTTTGGTATACCAGTACCATGAAACTTCAGCCCAAAAGCAGTTTCACAAAAGTGAGAAATAAAATCGAATAGTAAAATATTCAAATCATTTCAAACAAAATTTTCAAATCATCGCCAAAAGTTGAGGTAAATTCCCCAATTTTTTGTAGCGAAGTCATATTTTTGTAATGTCATTCTGATATATGACTCTTTCCTTTGTAGTTGGTTATTATTTTTTTATTTATTGTGTACAAACACTCAGCGAACTGTAATTTAATACGTCTGGAGTACCCATCACAATAAAAAATCACATACAATTAAATTTCTTTTAAGTACTCATATCCAGTAATATATGTCTGCGACATGAAACAGACTGTTACTGTTGAAGTCATCAAGGAAACTATTAAAATGTGCGGGAATGTGAAAGAAACCAAGGCAGCAGCAAAGGCCAATAAAAAACAGGAGAAAAGAAGTGACTAGAAGCATCTAGCGCCCATCAACAGCCTAAACCTAAAATTTGATTCGAAAAAAAATATCCTATTCGATTTTGGAATCTTCAGGTATTCAAAATACTCGGCCCTAGCTATGATCAGGGATGGCCAATACCGAATAGTTCACTATTTCGAATACATTCGAAATTATTTTTTTCGAATATGAAATTTCGAATACTTCAAAAATAAAATTCACTAATTGAAGCTTATCTAAATGTATGTAGGAATTTCCATACAATAAGCAATGGAATAACTGCTATCTACAAGTTACAACCTAGTCATATTATCAGGCATTTCATATTTGCAGATTATTGCAGTATATATTTTATATACCTTGAGTCATGTTAACAGAATTAAATTAATACGGCAATAGTGGTATCGGTGATGGATTTGAATATTTGCGCAACACAAAATCATCCTAGTAAAACGCCCATACTTTTAAATATCAACCATTATCCAAATTATTTGCCAAAAAGCGGGATAAAGTATGAGTTATTTTTCCGACTTGTGACAATTTTTTATACGAATCAAAAATTTTTTATATTCGGAAACTTTACCACACATTTTAAGTCCACAGATCGCCGTTGTATTTTGTAAATACAAAAATAGGAATCAAAAATTAATATTAATCGCGAGTTTGCCACACAATTTATGTCCACAGATTGCCGTGATATTGTGCCGAATATAATTAGTTTTTGATTCTTATTTTCGTACTCACGAAAAAATTGTCACAAGTCGGAGAAAGAATTTATACTTTATCCCGCTTTTTGGGAACTAATTTGAATAATGGTTGCCATTGGTTTGTATTTAAAAGTATGGACTTTTTACTCGGATGATTTTGTGCTGCGTAAAATATTCGAATCCATGACTGATACCACTATTTAAAATGCCTTACCGTGTTAATTTAGTTCTATTATCATAACTCAAATGTTGGTAAATCGGGCAGTTTACCACACATTTTAAGGCCACAGATCGCCGTTGTATTTTAGAATTATAATAGTTTTATTATTTTGTAAATACGAATCCAAAATTAAATATAATTGGGCACAATGTCATGTCCACAAATACCCGTGGTATTTGGTATTAATACTTTCATTATTTTATTAATATGAAAATATTAACTATTAACCCGAATGTTAAAATAATTTTGGAATGTGATAAGTACTACACTGTACGTCCACGGGTTATTTCACAGCTGTGTTTTCCTGTCCCTGTCGTGTTCTGCTGAATCGGCAAAACGAAAGGGTCACAAATCACTTTCACTCGGTGGCCATGTTTCTCTTTAAAGTAACGATAAACGGCCTGCGATTAAATATCATGATTGGCAGACCCTAAGACCCAAATATAAGGTTACACAAATCATGCTTGAGAAGAATAATAAGCAGGACACATAGAAATAAAATAAACATACTTTCTCAATTAGACGCCCCCAAAAAAAAAATCAGGCCGAAAAATTGGGCCTAGAAAAGCGGTAATTGTTAATTTTTTGACGTGATGGAAATGAATTTGTAAATTAAAAGCCTCGTAGACGAATGTCGGCAATGTCCACCAACGCAAACGTGCAAATGTGTCGCAACACTATGCGACGTACGATCGCACAGAATATAAACAATCAAAGTGCCGATTCTATTTCATCGTCATTACAATACGTGAGACAGCGTAAAAAGTCCTTTGAAGATTCCCGTAAAACGAAACACCACGTTTACGGCGAAAAGTGACTACTATTCGGAATTATTCGAAAATCAGCCGAAAAGGTATTCGAATACTATGATATTCGAATATATTCGAATATTCGATTCGTTTTGGACAACCCTGGCTATGATACAAGAATTTTAGATTTTAAGATTAAACTTTTAATATACAAACATAACTTAAAAACTTTTAAATAAATATTAGAAATTGAATTTGAAAAAATTATAAGCCCAAAAGAATATATTTTATTATTTGTAGGAGCTATTAGAAAATTATTATAAAGTGGGAAAATAATTAGATGGTCGGATTTGGTCCAACTTCAACAAAACAACACAGCTCCATGTCTCACATACGTAAATAACATTTCTAAATTAGTTTGTTAGTTAGATGAAAATGAATGCAGTATCATAAAACTTCAGTTAACGGCTAAGAATTTTGATAAAAAAACAAGCTTCATGATTGCAAACGAGAAGTAATTTGTCTTACCATGTCAGGATTGAGAAAATCAATGTTGATCAACTTGTATCTTGGTGCATTCAGATTTGTTTTGAATGTGAATATAGAACCTTCATTTGTGATGTACTAGAAACAGAAAAGTAGAGTTCATTACTTTTACTTTACTGATGTTATATTATATCAGAACAATGAATTCTTGTGTTGTTTTAACTGTTTTTTTTTTCGGAAGCAATGGAATAAATTTTTGTAAAGTATTAATTTCAAACAAGATTGCATAGTATTTAGAATTATTTTTGATATCCACAAATACAGCAGTAATTAATGCTATTTATGACCGAGTCATCACGCTAACAACATTACAAAACAATATTGTTTGAAAATTGAGTTGTATGCATTTGCAGGATAAGATTAGATTTTCATATTTTTTCCAGGAGAGAAGAAAGCTTAAAATAAGACGACTTAAACATATGGCAAAACATGGGCTCTTGTATGGTTACCATTACATGTTGAATATGAGAATACAATGATATCTTGTTAGTCAAACGACTCGACACTTGAACAAATCGGCAGTACACAAAAAAATTCTAGTCAGGCCTCAAACAAAAATTTTTGATGACGTTGTCCTACACAAAAACGAATGTCATAAACCCAAAGAAATCAGCCCAGTACAGTAACCAGTACAGCAACTGCTAAAAAATTTATTAGATTTTTATCTTTATTATGAGCATTTATTTAGGTACACGTTTTGTTAATATTTTGGGTATGTTTAAAACGAATTAAAATAATCACCATTGTTTCTCATGGCAAAATAAGTTTCAGTCCTCAAAGAAATCGTTAGTTGAACAAAAAATAATCCTGAACAAATTATGTTTGACTACCGAGATATCACTGTAATTAACTACCAGTTGTTATATTTTCCAGCAAACCCCCCTCGCACATATTGATTTCACACTGAATTCGCGAATGCAAACCCACACAGGGTAATCAGTGGTGCAATGACATAACAAGTGTGTTTTGATGCTTAGTGATTCACCATCCAATTCAAGGCAAAATTGTTACATACTTGATATTCAGCATCAAAATTGTCTACAAGTTTAATCCATGGTAGCGGCCCTTCATTTATCTTTCCACCAATAGATTGAAGATCGATGTACCATAATCTATTGACTGGATCACATCCTTCACTCACAGATAGTAAAACATATCTTCCATCATCAGATAGTTCAGCTCCGCTAAAGCGATCAAACAGAATTTTGCGCAAGTGTTTAATCACATATATTATGTACCAGTATATCTTCGCATACAAGCCGATCTCACATATAAGCCAACCCCCTAAAAACGACATTTTAAAGGTTAATTCATAAAAGTCGAATACAAGCTGACGTTACAAAACACACAAGCGATCACATGTATGACAACCAATCACAGACTTTTATCTCTGTCATAGCACACCAGCGCTGCTTTGAGTGTACGCGTGCACGCTCTTCTTGTGAGAACTTAGCATGGTTCGAGTTATAGCTGTTGGAATTAAGTTAGCACAATGTTATTTTGTTTGAGTACGATCAAGTTATATGCGTATATGCCCAATTTTTAGTGCGATCATAGTTATGCGCATATAAGCCGGATTTTTAGTGCGATCAAAGTTATGTGTAGACAAGCCGACCCCTTGGTTTGACAACTTTTTTTGAGTTTTAAACAGTGTTTATATGCGAGGATATACAATAGTTAATTAGGATAGGAACTCTATTTATCCTGGGGAAAAGGAAAGTTGATAAGACGGCTTAATCACATGGTGAACCCTGGCCTCTTGACGGTTACCAGTCCATGTCGGGTATAGGATTAGTAGTTGTAATCAGTTGTTAGATGTATGGCGGCAGAGTGGAGGAAGTCATAATCGTAAATTACCAGCGGTTACATGAACCACCCCACAATGGCGGACGAGTCCAGACAATCCTCTTGAACATAGTTAAGCTCATAACTTAATCAGAAGTTATTAGAGATGTGATGTCAAGCGTATTCCTAATGCTTCACATGATGCACTAACACCAAGCCAACTGGGAAAGGTCTTTGCTACATCCACTAGTCACTAAAAAACTAAATCATAACAAACCTCATCCATTTTGGTTGATCTGGAAACTCAGCACAAAGAATATCATCAGATTGGGGAGTCCCAAGTACGTGGTAGTAAAGCTGAGACAAAAACAAAAGTGATATAAATTTATTGTGACCTATGCAGCATGACTTGCAAAAATAATGAAATTTCAGTGTAATTTTATTAAATGTTCTACAGAAGTTTGGCCTTCGGCTAAAATAGAAAGATATATTGGTAAGTATATCCCTGGGAAAGAGATGTTTAAAGATATACTAATAATTCAATACAATATGGCCATGGTATACGGAACAATGGAATAGAATTAATATTTTATTAGCATGAGAGCATCTTGTGACACACACTTATAATAGGTCTTTTCAATTTTCGTATTTTTCCATTTCATGCTATGTAATAAATATTCCTTGCCAACAATTTTTTCATAATTTTTGAAAATGAAAGCAAACCTTTTGATGCACGTTAGCTGTAGTTTCTGTTCCATCTGCTTTTCCTGGTTGTTGTGGATAACTCTATAGAAAAAAATTTGCTTCAATCAGAATTTAATTAGAATATTCAAACAGACAAGAGTTTTATCAAATTTTTCTACTTCTACTACAGAGATAAACAAATTTAAAAGATTCATCGGGCAAAATGTTCTTATTCTGCATAGTCTATATTAAAGATGAACCTGTGAGTTTGAGGTTATCACACTATCAATGAACTAAAAACCTACTTACATTATAAAATATCCCTCTGTTGTCATGAGTCCAAGACATGCAGGAGAATTTCACTCTTTCTAATGTATCTGGTAGGTCTAATGATCCTTCAACTCTTTTAAACTAGAAACAAAAAGTTTCATATCATGAATACAGATTTTCAAGTATATAAACGTCAAATTGATTTGATGCAACTGAATTCTCTTCTGACAACAGAATTATTTTTTCTTAAATTACAAACAACATTTGTAGACTGCACTTACAGGATATGATGATTTACATCAGAAATAATTGACAATGATTGTATAAAGTCAATGATATGACCAGGTTTCCAAGACAAAATGACAACGGTTGAAATTAAAAAAAAATATTATTTGAAAATATTACAAAATTAATTTGAAATAGATTGGTTCAATATTTGCGAGGAAAAGCAATTTTTTCATAACATCGATAACCCAAACAAAAACAACACTCGCAAAATTATTCACAATTACACTTCATGTTCTATAACAGGGGTGACCAACAGGTCGATCGCTCAAAATGTCAATTTTTTTCTAATTTCAAGCAAGCGAAGAATCGGACTCTGAGGAAATTGCAAATTAGATACTGAAGTTTGAGCAGTCATGTAACATTTATTTTATAGTTTGGGAATATTTATCATTCGCTTTTTCAGATAATACATGAATACTTGGTAAGATTTTTTGAGAAATTTTCAACACTTACAAATAAAAATTAGGCAGGTCATAAATCTGAATTGTATGATTTGAATGAATCTCAAATACTTGATAAAACATTTGCTCTGGGTACAATTACATAATCAAATTATCAAATTGAATGAAACATAAAAAATACGAACGTTTGTACCGATTTTATCAAGAATGCGCCCCAAAGAACCAAGTCAATCGGCAGCGGCAGAATTTCATGTATGTGCGTGTGCAGTTATCTGCATATTCATAACTCATTTGTTTTTGTGTATGACCTTATTACCTACCAATCAATCGCGAGCAATTTTGACGATTTTAGTCAATCGCGGTCCAAAGGAGTTTGGCCGCCCCTGTTCTATGAGAACAAAAAAAATACAGTAGAAACAATCACAGATCATAAGGTAACACAATTTAAACTTGGGTAATGAATACTTATAGAAAGCACACACTTTCATTGTTGTCCAGTCTGAACCACTCTGGCTCAGTCCATAAGCAAAATAGGACCCATCATCTGAAAAAGATCTTCCTCTTAATGCCAATGTACCATCCTCTGATAATTTGTTTGGATCAAGAAAAACTTTCGGTTCTGACATCAACGTTTCTTGACAATACAAAATGCTGTTCAACGAAGTAATAATACCATTAACCATCATGTTATCAAGAGTACACACCTGCGGGTCAAATCCCATAGCTACAACCCCTCCAGGGGCCAGAAATTTTCAAGGGGGAGGGGAGGTTCTGAAATATTTGGATGGGGGCCAGAAAACATAGGTTTTCAAGAGTCTTGTGGGTCTAAAAAGAGTTTTGCTACAAAAAATGATTTTTTGTTTACATTTCAAAAGGGGGGTTCCGACCCCCTCTGGCTACGCAATGACGAACAGGAATGATTTCAAAACTTTTCAAAATTATTATTTACTACCTTCTTAAAATTGTTATATACCAGGTGCTGCTTGCACAGGCAGGGCCTTATTTGGAAAAAAAGTTCAGAGCAAAAAATCAGAGGCAAAATGGAGTAATGTAAAGCATAATAAAAATGCCAGCCATCACTGGTATATAACCCAATCTTGTGGGAATTATTAATATTGAAAATTTGAACAATCAGTCTACCAACATTGAATTTTGAGCTAGAAGTAGAGGCTTCCTTTTTAACGAATATGAAACTATCATTATTTTTAATTGCTAGTTGCCAAACTCAAAAATATCAAGGCAACAGAGAAAAAGCAATTATAGTGGAAAGAAAGCAATGTCCACACATTTCAGTAAAAAGGTATATGCATATAATATTGGCACTCCAGAAGTGCGTACACCAATATGGAGGTAAATAATTTTGTTCACCCACTTTACATCAAGTTGTATAAAGGGACGGAAGCTATGAGCAGGGAGTACATTCACTTAGCTAACACAGACAGTTCCCGAAATCAAAATAGAACTAAAATAAGGAAAATCTGAATAAACTTATGGCCTGACCCTAACTTGGTACACTCTAAGGGAGTACCCATATATGATATTATTTACTATGAATTGGAATTATAGTAATAAGCAAACTTTACCTTTGATTTTGCAATCCAGTATTCATGAAGAAAAAGTATTTGTTTCCTTTTTTAAATGGACAACTATACTTGGGATAATTGTATAACTCCGTCATTCTGTGGATAAATTGCATACAGATATGGTTAGCTATTTAAAACAAAACAGTCAACCATAAAACTGGTAATCAAATCTGCATTTCGATACTCCAGTGAGCGATTTTGCTGTTATTCATTGATATATTTATTTAGCACCATAAAAATAGTTACCAATGACTATGATTTCTTGATAAATGGTTTTAAGATGTCAGTGCAGAAAAGCTTTAAATCTGGCCCATATTAAACCTGGTTTGAATCGAAAATAGAAGCGTAAAGCAAATTTAGGTTCAGGTCAAACCACTCGAACAGTTTTCTGGCTATTAACGCTACTTGGCAAATAAGACGATGGTTTCATATAGAATTCCAAAATAATAGCAGCTCATTGCATATCATTAGACAACAGTGGCTGCTAGTAGAAACCCTTGTTTGAAGCAAAAAATGTGAATACAGGAATAAGCATCGAATAAAAAATACTTCAATAATCTTTCCATACAGCCATACCTGGCATGAAACTTGTTCCTAGCTGAACAATTTCTCAAATAAGGAATAGAAATTTTATTTTGTGCTTCGACATATTCTTTTGTTTCCTTTGAATCCGGATCTTCCATCCATGTGTAAGGATCCGGAACCTAAATGCAGAAATATACAAATTGGAAACCTGAAAATCCGTCAGTTTTTAGGGGGCTTTTTTATCAACAAAATCATAAAAAGGAAATAAATTGAATTTTACAACTCACTTTCGCTCCATGGTAATCGTCAACTACAGTATCCTTTCTGGGTTTAGGGTAATTAAATAAAGACATATTTCGGTAATTCGATAATTGGTAATTCGATAATCGGTAATTCTGAACGAACTTTCTCAAAATTATCAGACAACGCATGTACTCCTCAGCGATGTTGAAACGGCAGAGGTGATTCCCCCAGACTTTTGAATAGGAATGACGTCATACTTGATAAAATATGACGTACAAATAATACTTTTAACTAGTTAGAATGTTTAATAATTTATTATTAATAAATAGTTATTTAAGAAATAGTTCAAATTAATAAGATATCCAATAAAAGCATATGCAAGTCGGTCGTTCTTCCGCTTGCGGCGATATGGAGGTAAAATGTCAGTACCAGGCGTGTAATAGCTAATACCGTTGCCAGAATTGAGCAATGAGTTTGTTCTTCAGTATTCAGATCGCTTATTTGATTAGATAAACATTCACCTTGCCATATTATTTCATAATTGCAATCTTTATTTTTAATTTATTTAAATACAAAATTGTCATTTCTTTTATTTTTCAAAAATTTAAAAATAATTACAAGATAACTTTCAAGTGCTCAACTGAATGATAATTTTTACAATTATAATAGAACAAATCAATTGAGATTATTTAACAATGTTCTAAAAAATCTCATTTATGCAATTCTCAAAATAAAACTTATCGTAAATAAATCGTAATCTTGTTTCTGGCAAAAATCTACATTTTTTAATTCAATAATATCTGGCATCCGTAGGGAATTTTTCAGAACGTTCTTTTTCTCTGTGTGAGTCGCGCTTGGGCTTATTTAGTCAGCAGCCATGCAGATTTTTGTCAAAACCCTCACTGGGAAGACTATAACTCTCGAGGTCGAAGCCTCTGATAGTATCGAGAATGTTAAGCAGAAGATACAGGACAAGGAGGGTATTCCACCTGACCAGCAACGTTTGATTTTTGCCGGAAAGCAGTTGGAAGATGGACGTACTTTGAGTGATTACAACATACAAAAAGAATCGACGCTTCATCTCGTGCTCCGGCTCCGTGGAGGAGGTAAAAAGCGTAAGAAGAAGACTTACACCACCCCAAAGAAGATCAAGCACAAGAGAGTGAAAGTAAAGCTTGCTACTTTGAAATACTACAAAGTCGATGACAATGGCAAGATTACTCGTCTCAGACGTGAGTGTCCTATGGAAGAATGTGGTGCCGGTGTTTTCATGGCAAGTCATTTCGATAGGCAATATTGTGGAAAATGTGGGCTGACTTATGTGTTCAATAAACCTGATGAAAAGTAAAGTTAAAATGTGTTTTTTTGTTGGTTTTGCATTTTTTCAAGACTTGGTCTTATTATCTGCAGACAGAGTTGATATAAGGGATCACTTAATTAGCATCTTTTCAGCTCTATTATCAAGGCTCAATTATCATAACAAGAGAATTAATTTGGTCAATTTCCATATTGACATTTGTTTTCTTAAAAATGAATTTGAGTGGTAAATGTGTATGCAGCTGACTAGACCAGATCTTGAAAAGATAAAAAATGACAATTCTAACGCTTATTTCAGTTTACCAGTATCTTGTTTATCAGTTTATAACTTGAACAATTGCTGCTATCTGAACTTAACATTTTACTAGTAAGCCTATATATGTAAAATCACCAGACATGGGTAATAAATTAAAACCGAAACTTGGTTGTATCTGCGCTATTTCAAGGGCGGCTTTCAGTTTGTTAGATTGTTCTTTATGTCATTGATTAAGTCAGTCAGTTAATATTGATGTGTTGAGTAGAGTAGTTTATAAGAGACGCAGGGTATATTTTTTATATACATACTTTCTTAAGATTTAGATCAAAATCAACTATTTTCTGGGTTTTTTAAATTGGTGTAATGCATTACATCGGATATCTTGAAGTGAGATAATTGCTAGAATGTGGTTGCATTATTTGAGATTACCGTAATGCAGTCTAATTTGTGGAATACCAATTCCAAAATAAACACCTCTCACTAGATTTTTGAACAGATGTCATTTCTGTCAACATATATAATTATCTATGAAAAGAAATGGACAAAAATAACATTTTGGTCGCTGTCCATAATAATTTTTGATTGAATAAGTCAAATTCTGAATTGATTTTTCTGTTTATTATTCTATTTTGATCTCACCCCTTTTATTATCTGAAGGAAAAAAATATAATTTATACCACGTCATTGAATAAAATATCGAAATTGGCCTCCAAACATATATCTAAGGCATACCATATATGCTCGTTTTACTGTCCGATCTTGATTAAAGGCGCGTTTGAATAGTCGCCCGTGTGAAAAGAACATAAAAATAAATAAGGGCCGGTGCTTGAATACCCGCCCAATGTAAAAGATGATTATTCAGTGGTAGAAAACAATAAGAAGCGCTTTTGTCACAACGCTGTTGAATTTTAAGCGCTGGTAGATAACAAAGATACCGTAATTTTTGTGTATAATTTTACTTTAAAAATAACAAGCGCCCGTGCTTGAATAAGGGCCCAGTTAGTGAGTTTGGTTAAAAAAATATGGGCCCGGGCTACAAATTGAGCAAATACGATAATTGAGTGCTGTTGAATACCTGAAAAAGGCTGAATTATTTTAGCATCATACGCTGCTTTACCATACATGTCAATTTCTCCCCCTTTTATTAAAGGGGGCTTAGGGGAATGTTGTATATGAATTACAGAAATAGTTTAGAAAGCTGGAGGTGTTCATATAGTTTAACTAACCTTTAGATGCCCGGTTGTTTTCTCCACTTCAAAGTGATAGGTTGAAGATTTTACTGGTTTTCACGATAGGGTATGCTTTGAGAGCATCTCAAGAGTTGATTGCATATATGCTGGAATTTATAACGCTGAGATGGTTTTACCGGAGTCTCTAGTCAGATCGTAACTTCAGCAAATGATTTTCATGCATTGAAGCAGTGCAATGGAACACGGATACAGATTGCTTCGATAACCAGATTTTGTCAACTGAGAAGACACAATGGAACAAATATTATATTTAAAATCATCAAGAACTGCATTTATCAGATAGTTCTACTTTTTGTGACAAAATATTTATTGAAACAATATATATTACATTTTACTGTAATATATCACAGTAACTCCAATAGCGGAGAATTTATATGTACATAGCGATTTGTATTAATCATGGTTTTTGAAATACACATGTAATAATATTTGAAAAAAAACTTGTCATAAAATGAAGAAACTTTAAAATTTGCATGAATGTTCTACCTATTATTATTTTTGATTATTTATACTTCTATTTCCTCTTGGTTATCATAAGTTGGTGCTATATTGTGGATTGTATTTTTTTTATTGATGTTTGAAGTACTGGCTCATGTGTTCAATTTCACTCGATTGTAGTTTGATTTTTTTATGTATGCTAACACAATAACTCTAAAAGATTAAATGTGTAGTATTATTCAGTTTGTTACGTATAATCTCTAGTGTTAATACTTGTGTTGAATTGATGTACACAATACGCACTCTGAAATAATTTTTGTCTTTTTTAGAAAATACTCTTAATCATTACATAAAGTATGTTTTTGACATGCATTCAAATGCTTCGACAGCCTCGGACCTACCCATTATCTCGATGGTATAAACATGAAAAATTGAAGGAACAAGCGAAGCATTATTTTTACAAGTCATTGCGTGTTCGAACTGGATTAATGTCAATCTTACTAAGAAAATCATTGAAAAAGCAGTATTTTGCCCGCCGAAATAAAGATACAGTTGCTGGAATATTGCGAAATAATAGACTTGCAGCGGCTACTTCTGAGCATAATGTGACTCCACACATGTTCAAATCAGGACTTGGTCATTGTAAAATTATTCTATCAAATAAAATACTAACGAATCTTGCAATTTATGAACCGAGAACATTCAAAGGACTGATTGAAACAGCTCAACGAGCAAATATTGAGAAATTACGAGAAAGGCATGAGGAGCTGCCTGATAGGCGTTTGACTGCACACAGACCAAGGCCGAAACTCACTACTGGAATACATTAAATTGCCTTATTATATTGCCAAGACAATTTCTCACACAATGCTTCATTTTCACCTGTAAATTTGGTCTACTTGGAGCAAAGCGTTTTTTGTTTCGAATTCAACATTATTGTGTATATTTGCAATAATTTATTTTTTTTCAATCAAGTTAATGCATCTGAAAACAAATATCTGGCTATCTAATCTCATACCCGACATGGAGCAGAGGCCGTGGTTCGCCATATGATCAAGCCATCCTAAAGGCTTTCCCTCTTCCCTGGAATGAATATTTGAATCCTATCATATTTATATATAGCTAAAGTATTAGTTTCTGGAGAATACTTTTTAGTTCATAATTATTCTATCTGATATTACTACCCAATAACTTTGAACTTTATTGTTGGAGAAATGGAAAAATGTTGTATTTTTTTGCGAAAATACAGTTGAAACAAAAATTGAAGCTAACATTTATCAATTATAATGAATATTGTTGTAACATATTTCACATTTTGTTTTTGTTAGTTTGTAATCTTCTGCATTGATAATAAAATATTATGTTGCTCATGGATGTGCTTTTTCAGGTATGTTAAAAATTGTTGTCAAATTCAAACAAATCAAATAAATATTTTCTTATAAAGGTGATCTGATAAAAGCTTGAATAACTAGAAATGTACCAGAAAATCATCTTTGACTTTTCACTAACATTTGTTCAAAGGTAAAATATTACTCAATTGTTTTTTTGATTTTCTGCAGTCTTAATTCCATCGACTCTTGCAAATGAATTAAGTATTGCTCAAGTATGAACTCTTATCAGTGAGGACATGAGAAAGATGCTGATTTACACCACTCATATACGAGACATTTTGACAGTCGTTAAATCCTGTCCCCTAGTGAGTTAAATATATTTTGTTGTTGTAGAGTGCTGTAGACCTATAGTTTTTCAGTTGTGATAGGCGTCATGTAGGGGATTTACCATTGATGGGGATTTATCTTTAAGATGTAGAATTTCAGATATATCACAGAATTTCGTGTAGAATCCTAGACTTATATGACGGACTATTAAATGTGGAAGTATGCATCACACATTGAATTTTTGTATGAAGTATTGGATGCTGTTATAGGTAAGGTCAAGTTAAGAGGTCATAAGAGCGCTTATGATGCGAAATACTCTTAATAGGTTTGTGAAAAAGGGCTAATGCAATTTTATATAAAGATAAGATTTGTTTCCCATTGCAAATATAGAAAAGATGTTGAAATGGCATAAATTATTTTGTAGCATCAAGTTAAAGATTCTTTTGACTGGAGTGAAAATATGCTTGGTATGAAGATTTGAAAGGAATGCAACGACATGTACGCCCTGGCTGTAATAACTGAAAACGGAGTAGGAATGATTCCTGCGATATAAAATATGTATGCCATGTAAATGTTAATAAACAGTACAAAAGCATTGGAATATAATACGAGCAATTGATTTCTATAACAGTGTTGAATAATATCTGACATACCGTTACTACAATTTGAAATGCCTGATTAGTATGGGTAACTTTTTGCACCTTATATTCATTTTAACATGGTATCACTTTAAGCCAGGGTGGTCCAAACCTAGGCCCGCGTCGCATTCGGAGAGGAATCAAAAATCGCATTTCGTGTTGTTTCGTCATAAAATTAACCAAAAAATCTTTTGACACATTGTTGCATCACTAATGTCACTGAATTGACTAGTGTTATGGCTTACTGAGGCAACTATCGAAGTTAAATGAGCGAAGTTCTTGGCACAATTGTGGCCCGCGAACAATGCAAAAGTAATTTTGTGGCCCGCGGAGTTGCCAATCCTGGACCATCCTGCTTTAAGCCTTTTAAGGTATCTCGTTGATAATTTTCTACCCACTTCAAAATTTTCTTAACACATCAAAAACTGTTGATAATATAAAAGAATTTTAAATATTTAATCACGTAAAAAAAGTAGGAAATTTTGAAATTTCATAGTGTCCTCGGAGGACGTAAAATTTGCGACGAAAATGGAGGACACATCCTCCGAAAGGAGAACGTATGGTCAACCTATTTAAACATGACATCTTGTATTATTGTTAAATATATTGCTGTGCACAAATGTGATTAAATCAAATATAATGACTATTGAAATGGTAATTGGACTGCTACTGTCTGCTCCAACGACTGTGTTCTCTTTTCCAAGTGGTAGATGATAACAAGTACATCATGATGACCGTAAATCATCTGGTGCGGTAAAAGAAAAAGAAATGCGCGATCGTGATGTTTGGATGAGGCGTGTTTAACTCACAGTCTGCAACGTTTGGAATTCAAGCTTAAAATTCACATCGATGGTCCTGTTCACACCATTGCTCTTAACACAATTGAATTAATTTGCAATCTATTATGAAAATTTTCCGCCAAATATATAAATGGAAGTGCTACCAATTCGATGCGACGCTCATTTTAGAACAAAAATAGATTACCGAAAAGTGCCATATTTGAAGCCATGCCTTTTTCAAATGCGGGAAGTAACTTGATTGAACAGTTTTCAGTAAAATGCGCCAAGTTTCATTTCCAAATAATTTGCTGTCAAATCTTATTCTAGGTTCGATTTAGACAACATCAACTGATAGGCTGGAACCAATCCTCCTTTAGCTATTTTATCTTTTAATATTGAAATTTTTCAAACTGCTATTCAGTTGCCTCCGCGGGCCGCACAATTTTCCCTTGCGGGCCGCATTTGGCCCGCGGGCCGCACTTTGCACACCCCTGTGCTAGAGGATTGCTGGACTCCTCGCCGCCGTAGGGTGGTTCACGTAACCACTGGTCGGTTACTTTTTTTTTATTCAAGAGGGGGGTACACAATTACCCAGTTACAGATAATAGACTTGGTTACTCAAATCGAAAAACTATGAATTAAAAACAGTTTAAACATCAGCTAGACGTTTGTATATTAATAGAAGCACGAAGTAATAATCAAGGTTATTATGACATTATTTTCAGCGAAAATTTATACTCATCCGAACCGTAATTTTCCCACCCATGTGCTATATTGTAAAGGGCAATAAAAAACGTTTACGCAATTCCGTTGAATTTCAAAAAACCTGTGCGTTTTAATTTAGATAATTATTATTAGGTCAGGAGGTTGCATAAATATATGGATCAGCACAAAGCAAACATAACAGAACCATTGCACTGAAAAACACGAAAGCAATGACCCCCTTCCAGTAGGACACAGTTTTTTGATTCTGAAGATAACCCCTCTATTAGAAGACATCAATTATGGCAGCTAGTTAGGGCTGGGCATTTTCGAATACCTTGTGATTTCAGAATCGAATCGAATAATTTTTTCGAATCTCGAATACTTGAAAATATAAAATTGTAAGCGACTTTATCATAGTAATTGGTCCTCTCAACAAATGAATTACTGAAGACATAGAATAAATCACTCAGATAGATTACTGAGCGTTCACACAGAATAACAAACACGTTTTATCAATAACTCACTACAGAAATGAGTCATATGCTAGAATTTCGTTGAAAAAATATGACTTCAATGAAAAAAAAATTTGGGAATTCACCTCGACCATTAGCGGAAAGATAAAAACAAGATGGCGGCGATTCGAAATTCCAGTCTGAACCGATTCGAATAATTTACTATTCGATTCGAATATTCGATTCGAAATGCCCAGCCCTACAGCTAGTGCAAACTCCTTTCTTACCAGCCAGTCTGGGACTCCATACTGAAAGGAAGATTCAGATATTTTCTTTCCGTCGTGCATGAAATATTGTATTTACACAAGTAATAAAAAAAATGGTAACACAAAGTTCAATTGAAATAAAGAGACATATTTGGAAGCGAGATCTAAAAACGTCACATTGAACTCCTCGAAAAAATGTTCGAATTTACCAAAGGAAAAAAAAAACCCGGTTGGTTACGGCTTTCACCACCATCAAGTCCATGCATCTGCAACAAACAACTGGCCAATCTAAGTAATCACCATATTTATACCCGACATGGACTGGTATCTGGACGAGAGATAGTGGTTCGCCAAATGATTTAAGCCGTCTTATCGGCTCCCCCTGTCTTGCACCTATTGAAGGCGATGAATTCATTTGTCAACTTCTAGCCCCCATTTTAGAGCGGCTTACTATATGTAAATCTCAAACATGGAGCTGAACAAAATGATCATTCGGCAAGTTGAGTTGAAACGTTCCTATGGGTAGACTTGACAGTATGTCCTATAACGCGTCCTAAACAAGTAAATAATATGCAGGGAAAGGTGGGCCACGGGGCACAGTGGATAATCAGCTCTCATACTATATCCGGTCAGCGGTTCTTTGTTTGAGTCCGCCCTTCGGTGAGTTACAATGTTCCCGCAAACGGACAACGGTCGTGAAGAGCGATGCAAGCTAGAAGGTGGAATTGGTTTTGAAGATTTGAAACCAAAATTTTACCATTCCATTTTTTTTTCTCATTTAGCCTTTCCAGTGTGACAAACCACGTCTGATATTTTTCAGCTTAGTCCACTGTAAAATATTCATAACGTTGCCTAGTGTATGTGCCCTCCAAATCTTGGCGTGGGACTGTCGGAAAATATGTTTCCTATGGGACATGCTCCACTGGGCACAATTCGACAGTGTTTGATCCATTAATTGCTTAGGGGCTTAGAGATCTGTTATGTTTTGTATAATATGAGAGTATCTTTTTGTCCAATATGAAATATATTCGAGAATCAAAAATATTTTCAGATTCTGATTCGAAAAAGGGAGTAATTTAATTTATTTACGGAATTTCTTAGAATATATCTGAAATATTTTGATTGAACATTGATTTAAAAAATAATAAAACTCCAAACCTAACTGAATTACCCATTGTGCCCAGGGTCTGTCCGAATGTGCCTCACAAGTGGAGTACAGTGAGACACTAGACAAACGTTTGAATTTAAGAATAAATTTATTTCATTTCTTCGTACTATTATCGCGATGCAAACATGCAGTTGGCGAAGGTGAAATAAAAAATCACATCGTCCAACTGACACAAATGGAACACATCGCTATTATGAACAATATTAATAAATAAACTCTCTTCTAAATCTAAAAAATGCGAAATTCTCGCGCCTCAGTTCACAGACTGCACGTGGAATTGTGCGTTAGAAACGAGCTTGCCTCCCGCATCCACGTTTACTCCATGCAGGGCTGCGATCTCGTGATGTAAAAAGGTCGCACACTGGAGAAGTTAACAACGTGCAACAGAAATGTTTTAAGCCACGACACATTTCCGCTAATATATAACACAGTTACACAGTAGAAGTTAATTCTGATTCTGTAATTTGAAGAAGTTATTGACCGAATAAATGAACTAGCGTTACAGACAGTTTTGGCGTTTCTCGAGGAAGCCTTTGCTGTTGACAATTTTTAGCTAATTTGTAACACAGAATTAGCTAATTGTGGACCCAATGCATTCGTAGTGAATCTTAAGTGTCTCTTATACTCATGAACTCGTTTAGGCAAAATAGTGAGCCGACTTTGAAGAGCTTTGCAATATGCAACCAACCCTCCCAACCAGTATTCCCAGGCGTTTAAAGAAACACCAGAAAGTATGATACCATAATTGGACAATTAGAATTATCAGTTTGCGTGGATTGAATCATATCTATATATATATATATAACATTTCAAGCTTTCATATGTTCACCCAAATTTTGAGCTGACGGTACTTTTGCAGTTAAGTTTTTGATATATTAGTAGATAACCTAGTGATTTTCAATAACGATGATGTTTCATCGGATTCGTTTTTGTTATATTATTACGTCTGTTGGCGTTGGCATGAGCCGTGCCCGTATAACTGAGAGTTCAATCACAGGCGGTTTGGCCCGATGTAAATGCTTAATTACCTGCTCTGTGCCTAATATAACATTGTAAATCTGTACAAATATGGTATAAAATTTTACCACACGATGATGTCTCGCTGCTTTGTACGTAAGTCGATTTCACGTCACCTGGGGCGTTTTCACGCGATCAACGTCAATGTTATTTATTTCACGTGCTGTCACATGATTAGCCAGCGAGTCTTAAGTTATGTTATTGGATACGTGAGTGGACCTATAGATCGTTTTGGTATTATGTTGTTGTTCTTGTTGATATTCTTCTCCTTCGTAATGATAAAATCGCTTTTCTCTTCGAATACTGGACCAATTGCTTTGAAATATTTAGTGGTTAAAGATTTTTTTTTTGCCAGAAGGCTATTACTTTATCTATTCCTAAATTTTCTATGAATCTTATAAGATCTAATATTTCATTCAAAATTGCGCTGTATTACTTAATTAGGGGAACACGGTTTTTAATCCGCCAAGCGTGACGGCTGACTGTGCATATTCTTGCGTCTGCAAACTCGGAAGTTTTATGAGGGTACGGTACCGGCTGGGTACCGGTAACGTCAAAAGTAAGGACTGCTTCGCTCGGGTTTACGTGTCCATATATTTGAGCGTTTCTTTCTTGTAAATATAATATATTTTGAAGATAAAATTTATTCATTGATTGATTCATAAATATTTATCCGAATACGATATTACGCACAAAACAATTTAGAGTATATGTGCATTGGTATTACAAATGACATGTTATTATATTCCTCGATCGCCTATTTCTGTATTTCATCTTTTTAATTCCTCATTAAAAAATTTATAATTGCGTCTATTATTTTTATGTGATAGAAGATTATAAGACGACGTCATATGCTCGAAATGTCACCGTTACATTCTTCAAGATAAAGTATCACCTGACGGAGTGGGTTAAAAAAGGTTTATCAAAACGTCCTAAAACGCCACGCCCATTTTTTTTCTTTTAGAACAGTAAAACACATTATGATCGTTATCTGGTGAATTTTCAACAACATGCCCAGCACAGAACTGTTGCCGAGGCGAGCTACTTCGACAGTTGATGACTTCTGACACAGTTCCTAGTTCTGAACTTCTCGACGAAGACGCAAAAATTCCAGCAAATAAAATGGCGTAGGCCGTAGATGGTTTTCCAAGGAAATGAATAACAGATGATTGCCAGAGGTTAACATAAACACGCAGTTCTTTTTCAACAGTTTCTGGCGTGTTTCTCACGCTGTTTGTTTTTCCTATAGGCTATATATCCATGGTGTCAAACTGTCAAGAGTAAATGCTACAACGT